CAATGTGGTCTTATTTCTAAGAAATAAACGGGTTAATGTTAACATTTTTTATTTCTGATTACTAATTAAGGAGTGCGCATGCCGCAAATCGCAATACACGTTTGGATGGCGGTGATAACTAATTGAGGACTTCTGCACTCCCCCCNCCCCCCCCCCTGCCTGGAGTCATATTAAAAACATTGCACGTGATTTTTAAGATAAAAAGCAAAATAAATACGCTGTATAAATAATGTAAAAATTATCTTCAAAAATTCCCAGAATCAAAAATTGTACAGAACTAATTTTTCAATGACGTTTTTCTATGAATGAATCTATTAAATGTAAAATTACAGCTTCGCAAAAAAAAATTTAGATTTTAATTAACGATGCATGAATTTGTTTGTAAAGTCAACGATTTTTTGGTCAGTTATGCTTCTCTTCTATTTATATACTCAGCTTGGATTTGTATTTGTCTGATTGTTTGCTTGTATCCAATAAACGTCAAAACGACTGAACCGATCACAATTACAAAGATGTGTCTCCAAAGATTTTGGCTTTTTGTAAAATTTTGAAAATCCAAGAAAAATATTATTAAATCCGCGAACTTTTTTGTTATTGTTTTGTAATGAACACAGAGAAGAGGCTCACAGATTCAAAGTTGAAATAGAAGATGGGCACGAGCGCGAAGCGCCCTAAAAGCCTAGTAAAATATAATTGAAAAGATAAGACTTACAACGTAAAATTTAAGCAAACTTTTGTTAACCATTAATTATAAAACCTCTATAAAATGTCGTCTTCAACTTGAATCTCCTGTCGGAGACAGCCAAACCAAACTTTCAGCCCGCAAATTCCATTGTCCTCCTCCGACGGAGCTTAAAATATTTTCGTTGTGAAATCATTAAAGTTAAGCAAAATATTTTCATAAGAAGCATAAGTGAATTTCGTTAAATATTCAACTGTAATTTTTCAGAAGTTAAAAAAACGTATTTCAATACTGATCAACAAATAAGTCACCCCCGACCATAATCAAATAATTCGTAAGATTTTTTCTACTATTAACATTTATTATAACATTGTACAAGTAACCATGATCTATAATCTATGTTATTTTTTTAGGAAATAAAGATTTTGTTATCGAATTTCTGAGACGGGGTTACTCTGTTGTGTGTGTGTTGTTCGGCCTTCGGGAAAGAATTGTCTGGGGTTAATAAACATCCCCACCAGAATCCTAACCGGCCTACTATCCTAATTTGTTTTGCGTGTTGCTGTTTTCCGTCAACAACTTTATGTTCGACAAAGAAATCATTAAAGGGGCTGTAAGCGTAATTTTAAGTGACCTTCCATTTTAGAGAGGCATATCCGATTCACGACGGTACCCTTTAAACCTTTGTTTGGACAATGATGAGGTAAATTCCCTCATTTGTATAGCTGAAGATTGAGTTTTGGGTGACTCGAGGTGACAGTGTACTCCGTGCTGGTGTCGCGGTATCTTAGCACTTAATTTCCCGGTATAGAAATAAGAATATCTGCGAAATACTTGATCAAGCAAAGGTTTAAAGGGAGTGATCGGCTATGTAAGGTAGTTGAACTAAGTATGCAGTGTTGTGGAAAACTTCTTTCGGATTCATTTGAGACATATATAACTTTCTAAAGATCTGTAAATCCTGAGTTTGAGCGCAAATTCGACGTTCAAAACTCCTACTTTGGGGGTGGATACGTTTTCAGAATTATTTTTTTTAAATTATTAAATAGATGGTCAGGGACATTTCTCAAAAGAAATTTGTCAATAAATCAATGCTAAAATCGATTATTTCGTTTTCATTATTATATTGAATTTCTTAGTTTCTTTGAATTTATTCGCAGATTTCTTCAAATTCTTCAAATGTCGTCTTTTCAATAATAATTCTAGAAAATCTGCAAAACATCTTTGTGAAAAATGAGAAACCAGAATAATGAGAAAATAGAAATTGAGAGAAAATAATTGAACAAGAATAAGATGATAAGATTAATTTTTATTTTCTCAAAATGTTCCTATACACATGACGTCTGTTGTTTATCCCAGAACTGTTTTCCATCTTATGTCGTCGTTATTTAATAATTTCAAAAAAACTAATTTTGAAAACGTATCCACCCCCAAAGTAGGAGTTTTGAACGTCGAATTTGCGCTCAAACTCAGGATTTACAGATCATAAAAAGTTCAATATGTCTCAAATGAATCCGAAAGAAGTTTTCCACAACACTGCATACTCAGTTCAACTACTTTACATAGCCGGTCACTCCCTTTAAAGGGTATTGTTGTAAATCGGACATGCCAATTACGCTTACAGTCCCTTTAAGCATAAGCTTCTCTTTTTGAAAAGCCTCTATATTGATATAAAACACTGGAAATTATAGATAAGACAAAAATATGCGAACTAGGATAGGATTTCTAAAAATGACGCTTTCCTTAAAACGTTGGGATTATCTCCAAGCTTTAACGACAATGTATGCATGCACATAATACTCTGAGAATCTTGTCTTTTCATCATCATTTAAAATCTACAATGTTTTTTAAATAGATTATTTAAAAAAATGTTTGTGTAGTCTCAAAAAAAATATAGAGCTATGCACGTTCCAAAATGATAGGACAACCTGTCATCTTACAAGTTTACAAAAAAAATCACAAAATAACCCCAGTCCTGCCATTTCCAAAATGTGATCTGCCTTTTTTGTGCGCCCAAAAGTTCCTGAGATTTGAAGAAGAGGAAAAAATTATATTTCTTTTCATTTAATAAAACCAATGTTTTCTAATTTTGCAGAAAATCATTCATATTTTCGCGGGGTGAGTTTGAAAGCACAGCTAAGGCAGACCACATTTTAGAAATATAAATGGCTGGACTATGGATATTCTGATAGAATTTAACTCCACTAGTCACCATTTTTCGATCACCGCTGACCATTCACCGGTTCTACACACATATAGATTTACCCCGCTATGTTGTTGCATCAAATCTCAAGACCGGATCGAATTTAGAGTGTCGCGAAGCGTTGCATGTGACCACTTTAACTTACTTTTGGTTAATTGTAGCATTTTACCACTTTAACTTACTTTTGGTTTATTGTAGCATTTTACCACTTTAACTTACTTTTGGTTATTGTAGCATTTTACCACTTTAACTTGCTTTTGGTTTAGTGTAGCATTTTACCACTTTAACTTGCTTTTGGTTTAGTGTAGCATTTTACCACTTTAACTTACTTTTGGTTTATTGTAGCATTTTACCACTTTAACTTACTTTTGGTTATTGTAGCATTTTACCACTTTAACTTACTTTTGGTTTATTGTAGCATTTTACCACTTTAACTTACTTTTAGTTTATTGTAGCATTTTACCACTTTATCTTACTTTTGGTTATTGTAGCATTTTACCACTTTATCTTACTTTTGGTTATTGTAGCATTTTACCACTTTATCTTACTTTTGGTCTATTGTTGCATTTTACCACTTTAACTTACTTTTGGTTTATTGTATCATTTTACCACTTTAACTTACTTTTGGTTTAGTGTAGCATTTTACCACTTTAACTTACTTTTGGGTTTATTGTAGTCTTAAAACGTATACGCTTTGAAACTTTAGTTTTTAAGAAGTAATTGGCAAAATTCTCATCTATTTTGGCGTAAATGCTTGCAACCTGTAAATAACATACATTTGATGGATTTTGTGAATACCCAATTGTGAATCACACGGAAATATTTATTTTCCAATGAAAACAAATAGAAAATTAAATACGTAAATGATAAGGTTATGGAATACATCTTACGATTAAAATGCGTAGACAATATTTACTTTTTGGTGATTTAAAAAAATGAATAACTTTGGATTTAAAGCCAGGGGGAGGTTGTACCACATAACAAATACGGACTGATTACTTGCTGACCTTTATTTGCTTTTTCTTTTTTAAAATTTCATCTCAAAACTTTTCCAAACCCTTTCTGGTTATTTTATTTGTTTTAACACAATGAGTTTTGCTTTTAGTTATACATTTTAAAATTTTAAAATTTTTGCATCTCCCTTCTCTTTTGTTATCCTGGTATTCTGTAATCTTAAAATAATGTTTTATTGCTTGGTTATAAAATGGCTGATAAGAGGACTAAGGCTTATTAGTCGAGGAAATATGGCAAAACAAGGTGGATTCAACTTTTTAAAAAAATCAATTTGAAAATAAAAAAGAAAAAAATTACAAAATGTTTTTAATAAAAAATGAAGTTTTTGACACAAGCCCTTTGCAACTCAATGCACTCGATCTTAGTTATTTCAAACTATGAATTCCGTTACAGATCAAATAATCTAAGTTTGAAATATCAAAGGTATACACTATCAGGTTGCAAAGAAATAGGAATTAGAAAATTTGGTTTTATGGCAAAGAATCAATTCCTATGCAAGTAGAATTAATGCTCAAATGCAGGGTCAAATGTTAAAAATGGGGGTTTTCAAAAAGATACAAAATGTTAATGAATGAATGAACTCTTACTCTTTTAATAATTATTGTATCTGTATTGTAATTATGTAATGTATCTTACATAATGCTAAACCACATTTAGAACCTAAACTTTATTTTTTGGTTTTCAATATGCATTTATTCCGTATTTTTACAATAAATTAAAAACCAAATTAACAGTATAAATTTTAGAAAACCTTAAAAAGCTAATTTATAAAAATTTAATATTTCAAACTATGAATGCTATTAGATAAAATAATGTAAGTTTGAAATATTAAAGGTTTAAATCATAAGGTTGCAAAGATATAGGTTTTACAAAAACTGAATTTGTGGCAAAGACTCAATTCCTTTGTTTCCTTATTTTTGTTTCTTGTAATATCATCTGATAAAAAACCACAAACCATAACCTGGTTTACATCTGTAGAATTTCAAAAATCCTTTTGAGAAATAAACATTAAACTAATACCAACCCCCCGCCCCCCCCCCCTCTCTTCTTTATTTTATTATTTGATATTTGAGAAAAGTGTGTTTAGATCGTATTACAGTTCTGTATCAGATTCTTAAATTGAAACATCTCACTTTGAAATTATTTTTCTTTCAATAGTGTTAAAGTGAGAAAAAAAAATTTAATGATTTTAAACACAATAATAAATTCGAACCCCTGTTTATGAAGATTTTCAAAGGTTTGTTTCGCAATTAAATTTTTTGAAGTTGAATAAAATAAGAATAATGACGAAAGGTGAAAGAAATCAATTGCAAAATTATATCTTGTATTTTATGACGCGGAATATGATATTTATTATTTATTATTTATTATAACTTATCATGCATGCTTTAATATTTCTCATTGCTACACAAATCACCCAATATAAGAACAATAAATATATTCCTTCAAAAAAAACTTTTCAGGTTTTTTTGCGACGACTTATTTGATTCAGGATAAAGTAATTGAGTCTTTTCCACAAACTCAATTTTTTTAATTCCTACATCTTTTCAACATGGTTGTGTAAATCTTTGATATTTCAAACTTAGATAATTTGATTCAATACGACATCAGGATGCAAAGATATAGAGATTTAAAAATCAGAGTTTGTGATAAAAACTTGATTCCTCTCAGATGAAAAACAATAAAAACCGAAAATCCGCGAAATGTTATAATGTCATTTTGTAAGTAATAAATAGGAATATGACGTAAAAAAGCATTTCAGAGTTAAACTAACAAAAAAAACGCGACACGAAGCGTCATTAATTCATTTACATAATTTAAAAACTAACCTAGAAACACGAGAACCAGTGGAGGCTGGTAAACATGAAGAAGTCGCGGAGGATGAAACTGATTCAAGAAATCTTAGGTGGGAATTTTAATTTTTTTTTTGGTCAATTGTACAATTTAAATGAAAGTAACAATTCTAGATTTAAATTTCAAAAGTTTTAGATTATAACTATGTCTTTAAATAGCTACTGAGAAGTATGACAAAAAAGTTTCAATGAACAATATTCAGTCAATCACATGTTGATGATCATAAAAAGTATAATCGAAACTAGAAAACTCCGAGGTCTCAAAGTCGTACTAGTAATTATGTTAATTTATAAGCGAGCAGACTTTACGATAATTCATCTTAAAATTATTATTTTTTTAAACTTCAATTCATGCCGTACAAAAAATGTTGTATTTTTTTTTACAAAAACTATGATTGCTTCTTCTATATATATACTTTGCTTGTCTGTCTGGGTGTCTGTTTGTTTGTATCCCATAAACGTCAAAACGGCTGAAGTGATTTAGCCCAAATATTTTGTGGGACCACACATCACCCCAAGGAAATTTTATGAATAATAACAAATTCAAAAATCAACCTTCAACAAAATTTGAGTTTTGTTAAATTTTAAAAATCCTAGAATTTGGTATCAAAAATCCACAAATTTTGTTTGTTATTGTTTTACAATGTATACAAAGAAAAAATGTTCACAATTGAAATAGAAGATGGGCGGGAAGCACCCTTAAATCCTGGTTACCATAAATATCAATATCATTCAAAGATTCATATGAAAGAAAATCACCTATTCAAACCCAACATTTTTACAGGTTTTGTAACTTTATCTTTAAATGATATAGAAAACTTTGTCGGTTTGGAAATTTTTGATTCCTTGACTTAAACTCATGTTTTAAATAAATGGAAAAATTCGACGACATTTTTTAACGCTCGAGGGTTTTGGATCTGAAGCGACGTTTCATTTAACAGAACATATCGGATTATACTTGACAGTGTAGGTCTAAATACATGTGTGCTCGAGAAAAGGTAAACAATCACTTTAAATAAATTATTTTTAGATACCCATTCCAGATATTCTTCATTCTCAGTACTGAAGTTTGTGAACGATTCTCTTACTATGGGATGAATGGTAAAATAAAGAATCTTTATAAAATATAAAAATATAAATATTTGGAAGAACTTTGAAATAATTATAAATTTTTTTCAGCAATCTTGACCTTTTATCTGATTTTTCTCTTTCAAAAAACCATGTCAGAAAAGGTAATTTTTTTACATTTTTAGATATTCGTTCACAAAGAAATTAAAAAAATTCATTAAAAGATATTTTAATTAATTTGATATATTGAAAAAATTAGACTCCCAGAAAAATTATGAATACAGTATACTTTGCATGTCCCCTTATATAATCATATACTGCATGCCACCAATTTCTTTTTAATTGGAGACAATATCTATCCTTTTAAAAACCAACATTTTTTTATATTATTATTACATGCAATAGTAGGCGATTACATCAATACAATGAAGACGACTTTCGATTTCAATTTAGATTTATATTAAGCTGTTAAACATGATGGATACACATAAACAAATAAGTCATGAGAGGCTGTCAATTAAAAAAGATTCTCGTTGATTACTTGTAAACTTGTAAACAATCAAATCTTAAATAAAAAAGTCGTCTTCATTGTATTTATATAATTGCCTACCACTGTAACAGACCAAACGAAAAAATGGAATCCCGGAACTTTGCCTGTATGGATTGGTTTTTCAACTTGAGCATGCATTTCATGCTTTTTTCATGTTTAGAAAATATGAAAATGAATAAAAATACTTTTAGGAGGCAGAAGATTTATCCACTGTCATCTTTCATTTGTTCAAATTCTTTTGTTACGCTACACCAGTTTTCGGAGCAGCCCTTGCAGGTATTCAGTAATGGGACTCTAGACGATATTTTAAGTTTGTATTCTTGAAACCTAATCTAATCAATAATAGTTTAATTCTAACAATATCCTCCATTGTGTCTGAAGCAGAAATGCGCGGGTTACTTTTATAGAGAAACCACAATCGGAAAAATCAATTCCCAATATCCCAATCATTCTTGCCAAAAACAAAGTTTTTAAGGGTATCATTGTGATTCTGCAGATAAAGAGTGTCTTTAAATTCATACGAATACAGTTACTGATAGACTTTTAAATAAGACACTGCAGTATCTTTTGGAATTTTAAGTTCATTTAATTACTGAAAACAGCCCAGACTTGGAGAAATATCTTAAACACTACGTTCTTAACAGCTGATTTGACAAATTATCTAAATTGTATGCACAAAAAAAATATTTAAGGCTCTGGCATCATTTCAAGTTTTTATATCCCTGTATATACCGCTAAGGATTGGTTATCAGTGTAGTAAAGCCTATAACTGACCTTTAATTTGCTTGTCATTTTTATGATTTTATTATGACTAAACTAAACATTAAACAATAAAAATTTCAAGTTAAACATGTTCAAACAACAATCACGTTTTTTTCAAAAAATGACAGCGTTAATAGAAAGAGAAAGTTAAGATATTTCTTTGTACCAACATTCGCTAATATCTGAACAAATCCTTACAGGGATACCTATTTTAAAATTTTTTGGAACTATGCTATATTGTTTCTGAGGGTCCAGAATCGAAGCGTTTTGCCAGAAACCTCATATTTTTGCAAACACTTCTGTATGCCGAGTCCATTAGCGCCTGATCCAATCAGGGTTCAGTCATGTGTTGTTTATTCTGAACAATAGAAATAGTATGGTGGTAGCTTCTATCTTTCAATCCAATGTCGTAGACCTTAGATATTTTAAACAATATATTATGTAAGATGATATAATCTAAGGTTGAATATTAAATGCTTACACCATCAAATTGCAAAGATAGAGAAATTAGGAAGTTTGTGGCAAAGAATTAATTTCTTTCATCACAAAAATTTACCGTTATTTATTTAATATGGAAATATGCTGTTAATAAATGCTTACCTGATTCAAAATTTGGCACTTTGGTTTTTCATACTCAAAATATTAATGCTTATTTTTTAAATTCCCATGGAGTAAAAACCCAGTTATTTTGACAAACGATGTGATCATTACACGATAATTATGGCACTGTGCATTGCATTATCGGTATTTTAAAAGGTGAATTATAATTTGAATTGTCGATTCCATATTTGACATAAAGGGATTGTTGTCTAAATTTAAGTGACTCTCTATCAAAGATAATATATATATAGATATGCAGGCAGGTAGAAACCTCCTTCCTAAATTGCTTGTAGCAGACAACTAATTTTTGAACCTCTGAGAAAAGGTGCAAGGAGAGACATCTATAGCAAATTGATTACTTTCTATATTCCTTTCTCCCCTTGCTGCCTTCTGTAGGAAATACGCATTTGTGTTATAAAAACATACAGTACGCGTATTGCATCCTGTATAGTTCAAGTGTTGCTATCTGGACCTGTTTGACCAATAAAATTAAAACACAAACATACAGTACGCGTTTTGTTTATGTTATGATCAGATCAGTTGTACTTTGTCCTAGATTCAATGTACTTTTATAGTAATAATTTTTATTTAAATTGCGTTAATTTACGTATGCCATTCAGTACAACTTGCACATTTAAACTTTTTCTAGTCAAATTCCTACCTCAGTTTTATTTGCATTGATTAATTTGTTTCATTAAGTACAATATGCAGTATACATTGTTGATACTATAGTACGCATTTAGTGTTATCACGCATAAACAAAGTGATAAATTAGCAACAACACAGAGAATAAAAGGCCATGCGTACGACAGAGATGGTGCTGTTTGCACCTTTTCTCAAGACCTCAAAATTTATACCTGCCTGCATATCTATATATATATTATCTTTGCTCTCTATTTAAAACAAAGCTTTACAGATTCACAACGGTAACATTGAAACCTAGCCTAACTGATCTATTATGTCGAAGATAACTTTGTATTTTGGCTTGAAAAGTTTTTTTTAAGATAATTTCTCCAGCTTTTAAAAACAAAATATGGATATCTTATTTATTCTTAATAAGACAAAACAAAAAGGGTACTATACCATGTGCATCGAAAATGTCACTTTATCAATGCTTGAAAATACATTTGCACCTCCTTTCAAGATTTCTAATAAGACTTTACTTCTCGAACCTTGATTGCATTCCATCAAAAGGATTAAATTTGATTTTAAATGTGGTTTTTTAGATTCTGTGTTTGGGAAGTTTCGAACTATCTTCTATCTATCTATCCTCTACGCTATTGGTCAGAGCATTCTAGCATTTGGAGCTGTCAGTGATAGCGAATATGGGATTGAAGGCCTCCCTAACCTGTAAGCTTTAAAGGGACTGTCTATTTAATTTTAAATGACTCTTCATTAAATTCCAAAATGTTTTGAATAAAATGGATGGAGATATCCTTAATTAAATAACTGAAAAATTTACGTTTCTGAATTCTGTTTCTCCATGAAAGTTAATTGCGAAGCAAAGACAACAAAAGACCATAACTTGTGATTCTGGCATGTAACTCTTTAATTTAAAGGAAGTGTTGCAAAAAATGAATGAATCGAATTCGATGGTGATCGTTACTTATCTTACTTCTATCTGTTGCGTCTATCAGGGGAAGAAGGGTTCAAACTAATCATACCGAAGAACGTAGGACCCATACAGATTCACGAAGTTGAAATATTTCACTCATATCGTCAATAACTCAATTAAAGTTTAAACTAATCTTTCAGATATTATAACCTGTAGCTGTCGAATTTAATTCGATGCATTCCTATAAAGTTGACATTTCATAATATTTTTTATTCTTTTAATATACGATGCACTTTAAACGACGATAGATGTCTCTCTTACGTGGGACCCCTGTAACGTCGAGGGCAGAGACGCCTAGCGGCCAAATAATCGTCGTTAAAAATTAATCGTGTACAAATAAAATAAAAGATATTATGAAATCTCAACTATATACCGATAAATCGAATTGAATAATAGCTTGTAATATATGAATAATTAATTTTAAATTTAATTGAATTATTTCCGATCTGAGTGAAAATATGCAACTTCGTAATTTGTATTGTTTTTAACGTCTTCGTTATGAGTAGGTTTTAATCATTTTCTCCTTATAGAACACTACAGATAGAAGTAAGATTAGAAGCGATCACCATCGAATTTGATTCAACGTTAGCCTATACCCCCTTTCATTTTTCATGAACACTCTCTTTAAGGAAGGATCACAATTAAATGACATAAACATGAATTTCATATTAAAGATTGCTTAATTCGTATCTTTTTTATTTTATATGCAAAGATATTTTTCATTTTTCCCTTTTCCAATACTTAATAAAACTCTGGACATTTTTCATAATCAAAAACATCTGTTCTTCAGAATTGTACATATTTAAATTGCAATCGTATTCGTTTATGAAGTTTAAATCTAAACTTTATTATTATTAATCATAGAATACAATCTGAAAGGAACTGATTTCTTTATTGTTCACCCCTCCTAATATTGTCTTACGCTGACGTTGTAAGCCTTTTAACATTATGGTAGATCAGATAATCTAATATTTTAGGTTCGGACCCTAATTTGCTAAATTAAAAATAAATTATTTGGCCGCTAAATTACCGACTTAATAAATAGCTTATTTGACAGCAACAGTTGGATAACTGCCAAATAAGCGATTTTTTATTGAAAAAAGCGATTTTCTCATTTTAGAATCTAAATAAAAAAATAATGATTATTTTCAGAGCTATTTCTTCCATTGGTATATTCCTGATTGCTATTGGTACTGGAGGAATAAAACCATGTGTTGTAGCACTTGGAGCTGATCAGTTTAAGGTTAGATATACACTGTATAGTGTACAGTGAGACCCATAAAACTGTGGAATAGGAAGACGATTGTTTGACTCTATTTATGATTTTGAATAGTCAAATAAACATAAAACACATCATGTAAATGTGCAGTCTATAAACAGACCTATTTCACTTAAAAAGTTGTGTGTGTTAAGCATTTAGTAAAAATTATTTTTTTAACAATATGACACTGATTTAAATGGTGTCTTCCTATTCTTCAGTTGTTCAAATCTAGTTGTATCATTTCTATTTTTATTATCCTTAGTCAAATATATTATCAAACCTGCCTTTTTCACTTTAACCTCAGATAAGGAGATCTCAGGTCATTCAATAAAAAATATTAAAGTTCAAAATAAATATTATATTATAGATATTTATGTTCAAAAGAAAACATTGAAAATGCAATAATTTATGAAAAAATAAAAGCAAAAGCTTATCTAAAGCATAATGTAAGTAAGGTATTATTTTTTTGACAATTTTTGTGCTTTTAGAAAGTTCTATACAAATTCGAAAAATTTTGTAAAAATTTAAATCTTATTTGCACAAGTTGCTTCTATTACATTATGAAAAAACTGGTCTTTTGTGAAAGATAAGCTGAAAGATTTTTAAAATCCTTTAAAAACAACATTTTGCACAATCTCAACAAGGTTAACAGCTAGAAAACCAACAAACCTTTAATGTTTAAATTGAAACCCTCTTGTTTATTCTAAATTCGTGTTTCCGAAGAAAATGTTTGAAATGGTTTTGGTAAGTTCGATCTTACGAACAAAATATTAAGGTTCTTCTAGATAACTCTATGTATGTTCAGGTTCCAGAACAAAAGAAGCAGATGGCAACATACTTTGCAATGTTTTATGCTTCCATTAACTTTGGTAGTTTAATATCAACCATTGTAACACCATACTTACGGTGAGAATATGTGCTAAATGTATGCAAAGCCAGAATTTAAAGAATTTAAACCGCCTCGCTGAACGGCCTAAAACCGGTTCCAATTGAGCACCGGCACCGGAACACTAAATACTATTTTGAGTGGACCCAACTATTTTTGAGCCACGTCTCAAAGTTGATACGCGGCTCAAATTCTTTAAATTCCGCCTTTCACCTTAAAGGGACTGGAAACGTTATTAAAAACTTAAAACCCTTTGTCTGATCATGAAGGACTCGGAAATTCGTTCAACAAGATTTTTTAGAATTCTAATTAAAGTATTTATTTTCTGATAACATATAATGATATTATTAAAGTAAAAAAATAGCTTCCACAAAAAGTCATTAACTAGTTAAACGTTTTTAGTCGGACATGCCATTCTAAAATGGAGAGGCACTTGAAATTGCGTTTACAGTCCCTTTAACAAATATTAATCTTGAGACCTGTAAGCAATGTTACAGGAAGTTCTATCGTTGTATTCGACTTATCAAAAATGACGATAAGGATTTCTAAAATTTTGATCGAATCTCCGATTACATGATTTTTTAAAACTTTGGTACAGTCTCAAAAAGCTTTAAAGGAGCTCATTGAACTTTGATCGAATCTTTTGAGACACTCTTAAACACTGTAATAGAATCTGATATAATTTATTAAAAATGTGGATCAGCCAGTATATATAAATTCCATTACGTCGTTGAACAAGATAAGAGTGTTTTGAAATCCCTAAAATTTACAACTCCTAGATAATGATTTTTATTACCAAAGGTTAACGATTATTTTTTAAGATTTAGAAAATAGGAAGTTGAATTGTTGTAATAATCTTATTCATTTTTTAACATTATTTTGTATACTTTTCCTTTTCATTTTGTCCACAAAATTTGCATCCTGTGTAAAATAATTCTAAACCGCGCCGGGGTAAATTTGCAAATTTCGAGAATGTAGTTTCAATTCAAGACATGCATCAGCAAAACCTAAACGCTGTAATAATATTAACTTATCGGTATCAAAGTATCAAAATTGATATATTATTATACTTTTTCCTCTTTTTACATTATTAAAGGGACTGTAAGTGTAATTTTAAGTTGCTCTCCATGCAAAGATGGCAATGTCCGATTTAAGGTATAACCCTTGAAACCTTTATCTGATCAATAATGTAAAAGACATTGTCGCTTTTAGTGTTTAATACTGATAATTCCTATAGTTGTCCGGCAGTAGAAATGCGCAAGTCACTTTTGTAGAAAAACCAAAGTTGAAAATAATCAGTTTTCAAAAATCAAAATAATAAACATTTATAACTAATTCTTGATCAGGCAATCCTTTTAAAGGTACTGTTGTGAATTGGACATTGTCATGTAACTAATATTTTAGAAAAGTTCCATGTTTGGGTGAAGAATCTTGTTATTCTCTAGCCTTTGGTGTCCCTGCAGGACTCATGGCTGTAGCCCTAGGTTAGACAAAATTTTACTTTTATTTTCAGAAATATTAAAATTCAAATTTTAGCATGATAAATAGATAATCATATATGCATCGGATAGAAATATAAGATGATACCAATCTGTTCAAGGTTTCAATAATGATTATTCTAAAACCAATCTCTAATTTTTCACGAATGAATTTAGGAGCACGATTTCAAATGTTTTTGAGGAATGTCGACAAAGCCTAAACTTATTTTTGAATTCACGGCTATACACTTCTCAATTGCAATGCAGCAACAAACTTCTGAAATAAAAAATCTAGAAATGCAACTTTATTTAACTGAATTGAGAGGTACAGCTGAGGTCTAACTCGAAATTTAAAAAAAAACCTAGATTTTCAGTAAGAGTGAAATAATTCCAACAGGTGTTGATGCATTTTGAATCCTAAACACCTAAAATCAAAAATAGATTATAGAAGAGTTTGCGAATCGATTTAGATTAATATGAGAGGCAAAAAAATCTTGTTCAGACATAGAGATGGCTGAGTTTATTTAAATGAAACTTTAAAAAGATTTGTTTTAAGTCGCATTTTTTTAGTTATATTTGCCCTGGGAAAGCCTATGTACACTGTGAACATACCTAAGCGTAATGTACTGGTGGATTCAGTTAAGTGTATCTGGGTGAGTGAACCACTCTCCACTAAACGCTATTATATCTCCGGTCAGTGTACTGCAGATTATTGCAGAACGCACCGAAAGCTTAGTTGCAGTTTGGTGGCAGGCGTGTAACGCATTAAATTATTAAATAACGACGACATAAAATGTAAAAAGTTCTACAATAAAATACAGACGTCATGTATAGGAACATGTTGAGAAAATAAAAATTAATCTTATGATCGAAAATAAGTAATCTTGTTCAATTATCAGTTTCTATTTTCTCATTATTCTGGTTTTTCATTATTCACAAAGATTTTCTGCAGATTTTCTAGAATTATTATTGAAAGACGACATTTGAAGAATTTGAAGAAATCTGCGAATAAATTCAAAGAAAATAAGAAATTCAATATAATAATGAAAACCAAATAATCGATTTTAGCATTGATTTATTGACAAAGTTCTTTTGAGAAATATGTTTCTAACCATCTAATTAGATTACTGTATAATTTTTACTTTATTTTTCGTTGTCGTTATTTGATAGTTTAAAAAAACTAATTCTGGAAACGTATCCACCCCCAAAGTAGGAGTTTTGAACATCGAATTTGCGCTCAAACTCAGGATTTACAGATCTTTTAAAAGTTTAATATGCCTCAAATGAATCCGAAAGAAGTTAATTCCACAACACTGCATACTCAGTTCAACTACCTTACATAGCCGGTCACTCCCTTTAAACATGAATAAAATTTTATTTTTGTATCTTTCTTATGACAATACAAGGTTACCCACAAATTACGAGAAAATATTTCAGACAGAAACTAAATCCAACCTTTAGATTGTTGTTTATGTTTATAAGAGCTCCAGGTCGTCATCGTTGTTTCATCTTTTGTGGGTAACCCCGCATACACTGTCATGTTTATGATAAAGAGTTGAAGAGAAGAAACAATAAAAATGTTTGAAAAAAGAAGGTTATTAAAGTTATGATAAAGCTAAAGGTATGCCCTAGAAACGTAATATTTTTGACAGCATTTTTATCTAACGAATTGAAAATCTACAAATTTAAAAATTGTCAACTGTTTGCAGTCAACGTCATGAATTCTCTTTGAATAAAAAGAGAAAATATAAAATTTATCAAATCCATAAAATCCCCCTAGAAATACGATCACTCTATATACAAATGTACAGTGTTAGATACGTAAACATATCGTGATGTACACAACCGACCACTCTATAAATTAATTTCCTTTCTGTATGATCACTACGATACCTTCCACAACCACACTATTGATCAGATTTTGATGGGTACCGTTGTGAATCTTATTTTTTGTACAGTGTACACATTATATACATTACACAATGCATAATCATATCTAAAAAAACTCTTATGTACTTTAGTGCGCTATTAAAAACCGTAGATCTAAACTAAAGGACGGACATTGGCTGGATGTAGCAGCTCCAGAGTTCGGAGATACCTTCGTTCAAGATTTGAAGGTTTGAAATTCGTTTAGAAAATACTAGAAATTTACAATTTCATATTCACGCGCCATTTTCTTCAGTTTCATTGGCTTTCTCTTTGAGTAAGAAATTGATTATTTTATTTTATTTTCTGCTTTATTTTTTAAATAACTAAATTTCAGTTTCAGTTAGGCACATGTGCTTGCAAATATTACTGTAGTGCATTATAGAAAACATTCTAGAATTCTGTAATTAATGTTCATGTAGGCGGTTTTCCGTGTTAGCGCCATTTTCCTGATGTACCCTATGTACTGGGCACTGTATGATCAGCAGGGGTCAAGATGGACTATACAGGTAAGTGAGAAGTTGTAATATCTACATAGTTGTTTTTTTTGACTTGTAAGAATATTTTTTTTTTGAGAAAAAAAGGAATATTAAGATTTTTAAAAGTGAAATGAAATTATTGAAAAAAGGTTAATTTGCCTTCGCTTTTTTAATGAACTTTATTGATTTCCTGTCAAAAATAAAATTTCAAAAAACCCTTAAAATAACTATTAAGCAGTGTCTAACAAATGTAGAAAGATATTGTTTTTAGGAGGTTTTATGTTGAAATATATAAAAACGAATTTTAATTATTAGTATTTTATCTGTTTCAGGCGAGCAAGATGAATGGATATACATTTGGATTCCAGATTCTCCCAGATCAGATGCAGGTTCAGATATAGTCCAAATTGGAAGGGCTACCCACAAAGTCTTAAATCTTAAATACTTGGGTTATTTCAACTATAAATTTGTTTTTCTTTCTCTCCATTTTACTTTGCAAACCGTTGAAAGTATTTTTCTTGTGGCCGTGGGTAAGCCTGTAAATAAATGTTAGTAAAAAATGAAAATATTAATAAAAAGTAAATAGATACAATGAAAAAATAAAGATATGCGAAAAAAGTATTGCAAAATTTAAAACATTTCAGTCTAAATACCATTATTTATTTTATCACTATTTTCCCCTATGTTAGAATGTCGCCACGGACGACAAAATTTAATTAGATATAATGATCTGAACAAAAAATTTAGTAAAAAATATTTAAGCCTGAATTTTCTAAAATATTTTTTTCCAGGTGGCTAATCCGGTTCTTATTCTTCTTCTCATTCCATTATTTGACGTTGTTATTTATCCTCTACTAGGTAAATACATATATTCTTTAAAGGGAGTGACCGGCAATGTATGGTAGTTGAACTGAAAATAATTGAGACGTATAAAACGTTTTAATGATGTATAAATATCGAGTTTGACCGGAAACTTAACGTTCAAAATTATCCATGTGGGTGGTTACGTTTTAGAATCGATTTTTTTAAATTATTAAATAACGACGACAAAACTAATTAGTAGGTTAGGAACATGTTTCTCAATAAATCACGTTATAATCAACTATTTCCTTTTCATCATTATATTAATTTTATATTTTATTCTTTATGAATTTGATCGCAGATTTCTTCAAATTTTTCAAATGTCTTCAAATTCAATAAAAATTCCAGGAAATCTACAGAAAATGTGTGTGAACAATGAGATATTAAAGAACCCAATAACTGAATACATTACTTATTTTCGATGATAGTAGTCAATTTTTATTTTCTCAACCTGTTCCTAATTAGTTTACTGAAGAATTTCACTACATTTTTCGTCGTCGTTATTAAATAATGAACAATCTATAAGGATTTCAAAGATTGAATTTTCGCTCATGGCTCTTGCTGAACAAATATGCACCGTAAAAACGTCTCATAGGTCTTAAATGATTCCTAAAAAATGTCTCCATAATACTACATTCTCAGTTCAATTACCATTTATTGTCAGTCACTCCCTTTAAAGGAACTGTAATCGTGATTTTATGCGACCGTCTATGCAAAGATGGCAATGCCCGATTCACGACGGTACCCTTAAGAGCTTTGTAAGATAAAGTATAATCTTGATATTAATTTTGTAATTTAGAAACTGATTTTAAAAAATAATTTTGGAAAAGTATTTAACTGTAGGAAAAAATATAGGAATTAGCAGGAAAAAAAAACAGTTTCAAACCTAAGAGAACGTCCATATCTTCCATATAATTGGACAGATAGGTATTCAAGGGTACTAGTATTCAAGGGTACTAGTATTCAAGGGTACTAGTATTCAAGGGTACTAGTATTCAAGGGTACTAGTATTCAAGGGTACTTTCAAGGGTACTAGTATTCAAGGGTACTAGTATTCAAGGGTACTAGTATTCAAGGGTACTAGTATTCAAGGGTACTAGTATTCAAGGGTACTAGTTTGAATCAGGAATTCCCATTGTTTGCATGGAAATTCACTTCAAATTACACGTACAGTCCCTTAAAGGGTATTTTAAGCTATCTGAAAATAAACATAATATAAGAATATTATGTAAAAAGGTAAACAAAATCTTAATCCAATAATCTCGGTGAACGTTTATAATTAGTTTTTGATTGAAAAACTTTTCTTGAAGCTAGCTCTACTGTTGGATGTTTGGTCTAAGTAATAAATTTAATAAATCTATATTGAAAGGTATTTTCATAAAAGCAAGATTAAAACATATATTTGGAGATCTTTCAAAATTCATCACCAATTAGATAGATAGATAGATAAAGTAAAATACACGTACATGTATCTGTGTACAGAACGAGTTTACAATTACACAAATCAAATGATCTTGGGGTTTTAAAGGCTTGAGATACAGGTCATTTTTTTGTTGCTTTAGAATGACTGGCAGAGCAGAATGTTTCAAGTCATCCTCAATATCAAGAGTGGAATGTCCGATTCACAACGGTGCCTTTAAAACCTCTATCTGAATAACAATGAAGAATATATTGCCGTTTTTCTGTCTAGGAACGTTTTTGATTCTCAAAATAATCGATTTTCAGTTATATTTATTTGTGCTTTGTCAAAAAACTTGGTATATCTTTAAAAAATCTGTTGTATAAGACAAGTATACAAACGTTTCATAAATTCGCTATAATACTATTTTTATAGCATGACGTGCTGTACATTTTTGGACAGACATTCTGAAGCTATGGACAAAATATAATTCTATAAAAGTGAAAAATGCTGTTTAAATCTGTAGTCACACCGAACCAAAATAAAAGTTTTTTTTTAATAACTATTATATTTAAAAATTTTTTTATAATTTCGGGAGGCGTTAGGTAATTTCGAACAAAATAGGATGGTTTCTTTTAATATTATATTAAAGTATGTTTTTCAAGGTAAATGTAACTTGCTGAAGACCCCGCTCCAGAGGATAGTGACTGGTTGCTTCTTGGTTGCCGTAGCCTTCATTGTCTCCGGTATACTGGAGCTACAGCTCAAAACAACATTCCCTGATATACCATCAGTATCCCAGGTTAGGACAATCAGTATACCGGAGCTACAGCTCAAAACAACCTTCCCTGATAAACCATCAGGATCACAGGTTAACCCCCCCCCCCCCCATTTATCACTTGGTTTGATAAATCCAAACAATAAAAATAAACAAAACAGAAATTTAACAGAATAAAATTTGGTTTTGTTTTAAGTAAAAATTTACAAATTGAATTAGGATCAGGGCGACTATAAAGTTTTCTTAAAATTGCGTTCTAACCCCGCAGAATAGTTACCCCTGTCAAATAGCTCGATCAAATTTCAAAAACGACCAAACTGTCTAAATTTAAACGAATCTGTTTAACTCTGGAAATTTTGAAATGAGAAAAAAGGCAGACTCCATTTATGATTAAATTATACAAATGTGAGAAACCAATAAATGCCGCAAGTTATTTTTAAAGATTAAAGACGACCTTCAAATTATTTCTAAACTATCGGGTTTTGTGGTAGACTACTATTACAATTACATTATGTATATTTTAGGGCAGATTGACTATCCATAACGGTCTTAATACTCCAATTACTTGGAAGGGAGACAGCGCCAGTAAATTTGGTAAAAATCATATCATTAATTTTTATTATAATTTATTTTTAAATTATTAAACAACTTTATTTTTTTGCTGTAGGTCCTTCATTGGAAAGTTCTGGAACATTCTCAAAAAATATTGATATCGGCTCATTTAACATTGAGGGGGTATACAATGATAAGGTATGATAGATGATTTCCTTTCATTAAAAAATGAAGTAAAAATAAGAGAATTTTATAATTTACAATTATTGCAAGTAAGATATTTTGATGGTGGTGGTGATTTTAGCTATATTTAATTGTCAAGGGGCAAAACAGCCGGCTAAAATTAAGGACACAAAAGTTTCGAACTTGATTTAGAAATAGTTGAGTTGTAAATTATAAAAACTAAATATAAAATTAGACCGAACAAAAATAAATGTCAGAAAAAAAACTTTTTTCTTGTAGGATTTCAAGAAATCGATCACTTTGATATCACAACAGGTAAAGTTTAATTAAGAGTATTTATTTTTATTTTTTATGTCAATACGGTTTTAACTCTATCCTATCATCAGTGCATAGGGTAGGGTAATGAACGGTAACTTAAGACCATGAGGTGTTTAAGAATTGAAAATAGAAATAATTCCAAACTTCTTTTACTGCGTGTTGAACAATATCATTTGTTTTGTTAACTATGAAGATGGGATGAAAAAAAACTTCTTTGATGTTCTTCCAGTCAACTTTTTTTCAACCATCATAATTAACAAAATAAATAATATTATTCATATAAGGGACAGACAGATTTCTGTGATTTTGACTATATACATAACCAGGGGCATATTCAGGAATTTGTCCAGGGGGGGCTTATTTTTTTATCTTTTCAAATTGGGGCTCAGCACCCTTTGGGGTCTAAAACCCCCCAGAAATCAACAGATTTCACTGGTCCAGGGGGGCTTAGCCCCATAGCCCCCCCCCTGAATACGCCCCTGTACATAACATCATGTTTTTCAGAATCTGACAATAATATTCCGTCCTGATTTTGTTGAGAGTAACGACGTATTTTACTCTTCTAAATTTGGAGATATTATTGATAAAACAGACGATGGAATGCCAAGAGTTAGGTAAATCATACATTAAGCCTATACCCCCTTTCATTTTTCGCGAACACTCCCTTTAATTAATTTATTGTTTTTTTTTCATTTTAAAGGGACTGCACGCATTATCTCAACTGTAGAGTGGCGTGTATGATTCACAACATTACCTTTTAAGCTTTGCCTGATCTGATTGAGACATTCTTTATTTTCCAATTTCTCTCTACATATGCAGAGACAATGAAGGACATTCTAAGAATTTAACAACTTAAATTTTAAACCTTTTATTGGATCAAGGGTTCATGAGTTATCTAATTATTTTTCTAACTTCTATTTGAATATCTATCAAAATCAACTTTCTGATTTACATGCTGTACTGTACCTGTACATGCTGTACCTGTACATGCTGTACCTGTACGGATAATTAAAAAAAAAAACACGATATTTTTACTGTTACAAAAATTCCTTACATAAAGGTTAAAAATGATTAGAACATGTCACTCTGTAGAAGCAGGGTTACTCGAAATTATGCATACAGCCCCTTAAGTAGGAATAATATTTAACAATGATTTCAATTATAATTTCTTCTCGTATCTAAGTTTTGATGAAAAATGGAGAAAAAAATTCGGCTTTCTAAAGAAATATGTTTTGAATATGTTATTAATATGTTTTATTACGTGCTTGACAATTACATGTATTAAGCTTGATTTGGTTTGATTTTATATAGTTGGCAAATACTGGCAATAAAAAGCTGATATTCTATAAAAGTCCACAAATATAACTTTTACGATTTTGTTTCTAGATAGATGTTAAACATTCTCTTTATTCGAAGAAATTAATTTAAACTTTTTAATTATCTTATTTTAGATTAAATTCCTTATCTTTAGAAATATTTTCCTTGTACAGAGAGAACAAAAATTAATATTTCAAAAATTAAACATTATTTTGAAAAAAATTGATTTAAAAAATATAGATTGAAGGGAGGCCCGGTTCACACAGTTTAATTAATAAATATTGTGTTAATATCGTCGATTTTACAAGTATTGAATTCTCAAAATTTCCTCCATTGTTTCTGTAGCAGAAATCCATAAGTAATTTTTGAAAGAAACCAAAATTAAAAAATATCAATTTTTAAAGTTTGACCACACAAAGTTAAAGGGAAACGTTAAAAATCTGATATGTAATGGGATGTCGCGTCTAAAATACCTTTAAATGTTTTGACCAGGTTTTATGTTGAGACTAACTCATCCTGTGGTGACGAGAGCACAGTCGTTAATATCTCCCAAGATGAAATCCAGAGTTCAATCTCTGTAAACAAAACAAACCCAGACTCATCCACCATCACATTGGAGAGTATTGGAGAGTAAGTTAACTTTCAGTTAGGAATAATCTTCTACAAAAACGTGCTAAACGTTGGATTTTTGAAAACTTGTGTTTGTACTTAAAAGATTTGAGAAGCGGTAATACATTTTCCATACATAAATAAATTTTTCTTTACATAAATAAATTTTTCCTTACATAAATCAATTTTTCTGTATAAATAAATAAATTTATCCTTACATAAATAAATTTTCTTTAAATAAATCAATTTTTCTTTACAGAAATCAATTTTATTTACATAAATCAACTTGTCTATACATAAATCAATTTCGAATCCAATATCAACTCAATTATCGACCGGAAGCACTTCTTTAATGCTAAAGTTTGTTTTCAATAAAATCATTGTTTATTGTTATATGTGCATTAAGATATTTTTATATTAAATTAATTTGTAATTATAATTTCAGACATACAATATCCCTCAGCTGCAAGGTAAAACTTTAAAAACAGATTTAAAATAATTGTTGTTTTTGTATCAATTAATTAGAAAATAATTTGTTTAATTACCCAAAATTTTCCGTGTAATTTGAAAACTGACCGAACGCTGCGGTTTGAACATTTGTCAACATTACAGAATTACATTTGAATAAACATTCAAAATTGAACTATTTACTTGCCTCAAATTTAAATTTTCTAATACCTATCTTTGCAATTGTATCGTAGACCTTTGATATTTTGAACTTTATATTAATTTACTGCTAGTTTTAAATATACATGCAGGTTTCCACCATCAAGTTTCAATAATATAGGGATTAAAAAAATAAGATTTTGAGACAAGCGTTTCTGTTTCTTTGATTTTAGAAACTATATTTTTTAATATTTATAATTTAGGAGGCCGAGTATTTTAAAGGCACTGCAACGTTTGAAATTGGTGGTTCATATATTGTATTCGTGTACGATGGTACAATTCATGTACACGCTCTCACTCAACCAAACACGGTATTTATTAAATAAGATTATTTTTCTGAAACTAAAATATTTTAAAGGGGGCTGTATTTCTTAAATATAAAACACCTTTCAAACAAGGTGTTCATCCATAATAAGCGTTCCTGTAGATTAAAAAGGATAGGTCAAACCAGTGCCCCCACAGAAGTTGATGGTAAAAGACTAAAACTCTGATGTGATATTACAGTCCAACAAAAAAAACAAGTTAATATATCAAGTAAGAGCGAATACTTATGATTTTTGGCTTTCTGGTCAATATGGAAAATACAATAGCAATATATTTTTATTCCACCCCTTGGGCCCTGTTCCCTCAAAAATGATGCGTTGCCCCTGAATTCTTTGTTTTGATCTCCTCCCACTGCAGTACACGGATTTGACGCATCAGATATGGCGGTTCCTGGACTATATATTTCTTGGGTCAACATTGATCAGTCAAAGGTTTTAAGGGTTTTATTGTGATTCAACTAAATGGAGGCTCACTTCAAGTTTCGCCTACAGTCCCTTTAATAAAGTATTTCAATTAGATTTTATGATATAATTTTAGATGTTTGAATTCAAGTGCATTAGTTTGTTTATGGACCTTATCTGGAAAAAAATAATATAATTTTTTTCAGTATTTTTGGCAATTTAAAAGAGAATAAATTTTAACTATTTTCTTGTTCGTTTTTGCTTTAAAGCAAAGTTTTACAGAAATTAATTGGATTTTAAAAATAATTTTATCCACAAACTTAAATTTTCTAATTCCTGTATCTTTGCAACTTAATAATATTGCATGTTAACCTTTTATATTTCAAACTTAGACTTTTTTATCTGATAAAATTCATAGTTTGAAATATCAAAGGTCTACATCATCAGGTTGCAAAAATAAATGGATTAGAAAAACTCAGTTTCAAGTTGTCTAATTATGTCTTTTTTAGATTCATATATTCTGGATTCTACCCCAGTACATTATACTGACAGTTGGGGAGATACTTTTCTCTATTACAAGCTTAGAGTTTGCTTACTCACAGGTACATACAGTGGGATCCATAAATATGTGGTATAAGAAGACGACATTTTAACAAGCGGACGCAGTGTTTTTGATGTTGTTTTAAAGCAAATAGTTTATCCAGTGGCTTTAAATGGGCCTTTGGAACACAATTTTTATGTTTTATGTTTATTGGAGTTTTTAACATCATAACTTGAGTTTATTAGTCGTCCTCCTATTCCAGACCTTTATGGGTCACACTGTATATGAATAGATTTTATTTTTTAAATTTCAAGAAAAATACGTTCTTTAAAGGAAAGAATTATGGTGTACGGAAACCTTTCAAAGAGAACAATTTCATTAAATTTTTACAACTATAACAAAATCTAAACTAAAATCAGTTTTTCTGAAATAAAAAACAAAACAATTAAACCAACCTTTTATTTATTTTTGATATTATTTATCTAAAATGTTTATTTTTAGGCTCCTGTAAGCATGAAATCTATTATGCAGGTAACAAAGATATTTTAGTTTTGAAATATTTATATTGGTTTAATTACACTGTATTCAGTCCGTGTTCTATACCAGAGCATTATTTTTGAAATATTTATATTGGTTTAATTACACTGTATTCAGTCCGTGTTCTATACCAGAGCATTAGTTTTGAACTAACATATATAAACCAATAAACATTTGATATTTTTGAACCATTTTATTTTTTTCTGACTTTTTCTAATACGTTTTTGTTCTTCCGGACTAAAAAATCATTGATTTCTTCTACGTAACTAAATAAATATAATAAAATAAAACTGTACATTGTTCTACCGAACTAATCAGTTTATTTCTAGTCCCTGTTCTACCTGACTACAGCTGTAGGAAACCTGATAACTCTTATTGTTGTGGAGATAGTTTCTGCTTTAGAACTTGAACAGGTTTTTCTTTAAAAAATATTCATTATTTATTTTGATTTACAAAAATAAGAAAAATGAGTGATTTGACATTTTTGAGTCATTTTTTGCTCATATTGTCGCATTGCTGAAATTATTGCTGAAATGAACCATTCAAATTATTGCATTTTATTTTTATTTTGTTTACTTTAGTTTTGTTTAACTTTCCTTTTCTCCTATTCTAGTGGATAGAGTTCTTCCTGTTCGCTGGTCTCCTTGTCCTGTTCACATTCCTTCTTATGCTGTTTACCATAAAATATAAATATGTTTACTACACAGAAGGTAAAATAACCTGAGTCTTTGTGCACAAAATCTAATTTTTGAATCCATATATCTTTGCAACCTGATATTTTATACTTAGATTATTTGATCTTATATATTTGATAGTTTCAAATATCTAAGGTCTGCGAAATTGGGTTGCAAAGATATAGAGATTAGAAAATCAGAGTTACAATTTCTTTACTGTTAAATTCTTAAAAAAGACCCCATGTGCGATGGGGGGGGGGGAGAACCTTTTATAATAAAATATATCATGATATTTGCATCCCAAGAAAAACATGCAGTATGTGTACATCCAATAGTGCGTAATCCAACATATTAAAATAATCGAATAACGAAGCTGATTACTCGCAACAAATTCTTATTTCTAGCATATTATTATTATAGAAATTAAGAAATCCAAGTTTGAGGGGAGAAATCATCTTCTATATAATTCAGGGAAGGAAAAGAAGCCAGAAGACGAATGAACAGGACTAAAGGGATTGTTCAGACATTTGCATGAAGAGACAGTTAACCATAATTACGTCGTCTTGTCGACTTTTTTGTATTTTCAAAAATATCGTCCGCGTTTATTTTTACAATATTGCATAACGGGTATATTAAGAAAATATAAACTATAATATTTTTCTTGCTTTATAAATACATTTTTATTGATAAATGGAAAGTACATCTGTTCAAATGTCTTAAAGATTTCTAAAATATTTTATCTAGATATTATTTATAATCACAAAAATTGTACCTTCGTTATAACTTATTGTTAATATAGCGGGGGTTCTATGTATTTTTTATAACATAAAATATTTTTATATTAATTTATATTTTTCGAAAATTTTCCTATTTGACATAATGTGATGGTTAACACTTTTTAAAATTTCCCACCCAACATGTTTCTTATCTAAAAATATTTATATGCAGTGAAAAAAAATGTCCTTAATTTTTTGATGTGAAGGTCCGCAACTTAATTTGATAAATATAATCTACATTTTTTACGATAATTTTTTATTAAATTTTGAAGAGCTTTTATTCTAGTCATAATTTATTTAGAATAATCATGTTAGAGTTTAACTTTATAGATGTTTAAATGTTAAAAGATATGATCAATATCATTATTTGTTAAATGTATGGTGGCATGAAATAAAGTTTATTGTACGCTTAAATAACTACTGAGAGAGACTCAGAGCTGAAAACTTTAGAATGATGGATATTAAGATTAATTAATTAATCGAGAATATTTTAATACGCATTCGATATCCAATAAAAAAGTTTAAATTTAACCAATCAGCGTGTCATGTTAAGATGCACTCTTTAACTTTTAAAAAACCGAAAGTACAAAAGTAAATTTGGATTAATATTTATTAAAAGACTAACGTTCAAAATGACAATAGTCCTAAAATATGATAAAATATGTTGTTTAATAAGTTCATATTAACATGATTAAACTTGTATTCGTTTTAATGCTCTAAAAGCCGGCTTTTGAACAGCTGAATTTAATTCAATCGGATATTAGTCCAATCGATATAGCATTGTATCTGTAATTGTTATCAAACGTAACTTTTATACAGTAGGGATATCCAAAAAAAGAATATTAAGAATCAAAAGTGTGTACATTGGATAATCATATTAAGCGATCGTGATTAAGGAAATCTCATTCTAATGTTTTCAGCTCCGAGCTGGGAACTTTAGAATGGTGGATATCGGGATTAATGCTTGATCCACTCTTTTTCTTAATCTCCCGATTAAATATTGCTGTTTGTACTCATGAATTTAATCTCCAGATTAATTAACAGATCGGGATTAAGGATATCACATTCTAAAGTTTTCAGCTCAGGACATTTAAACTTTACTCAGAGCTGAAAACTTTAGAATGTGATATCCTTAATCTTGCTCTCTAAATGTCTAAAATTCATTTTGGACATTTAAGCTAATATCTGATAATTAAAACTGTAATCTGAAAATGTAAACTGAAATTTGAAAATTTAAACTATAATATGAAAATTTAACATTTAATCTATAATATGGACATTCAAAACATATTCTGGAAACTTAATCTAAAATCTGAACATTTTAACTTTAATCTTAAAAATGATTTGGAAATTTAATCTTTAAACTCTGGAAATGAATATATCTGGATGTTTAAACTGACAACTGGCATTAAAACTATTCTTGATTATTCAACTATAATCTGGACATTTAAAGTATTAAACTACGGTGGTGGCGATTATTTAAAAATAATAAGGAAGACACTCAGCTTAAATTTTGAATTATATAAAGCTTTTAAACTTGTAATTCGCAAAAGACTTCTTAACGATTAAAACTTAAATAAAAAGTCGTCTTCATTATATTGATATAATCGCTTACCACTGTATAATCTGGACATTTAAAGTATTAAACTAGAATCTGGAAATTTAAAGTATTAAACTAGAATCTGGAAATTTAAAGTATTAAACTACAATCTGGAAATTTAAATTTCTAAAAATTCAATTTGTTAATATCTGAGGTCCACCCCACAGAATACATGCTGGTGTATGATCTCGGGGATGAAGTCTAATCAATTTTGTTTTATGTTTTATTAAAGAATTTGTTGAAGCGTAAATTTGAAACTCTAAATAGAAAATTTTAAGTTTCAGCTTTTTTTTCTTAAATACAGTTTTGACCAAGTTCAAATCAATAAAAAATCAAGGCACTTTGCTTTAACCATCATTACACAAATGTCATTAGTTTACTTTGTAACTAACATTTTCATTTTATTCAAAAACAAAAAATTATATTTTCCTTCATTAATTCAAGCATTTAATAAAAATATTTTGATCTTAATTACATTTATTTCTCTCGGGAGAGAGCGAGTGTATAAAAAGTATAAAAAAGCACAAAAAAAAACATAAAAAGGCATAAATAAGAAAAATAAGCAACAAAAAAAGCATAAAAGCATAAAAAAACCAAAATTTCCTAAATTGTTCTCCAGGTTTACAGGGTCCCTGACCGAAGTGAGGATAGCAAAGACCTAAACAAACATTTACAGGTTTATATCTGGTACTTTATAAAGAAAGAAAAAGCCTGCTCATGGTCTTCAAATAACATTATAATCAAAGAATTTTAGTCTATACATACATACGTACACCTTTACATACATACATACTTACATACACCTACAACTAAAAATCATTTATTATTCAGTATTTAGCTATAAAACGCTCACTTCCCGAGGTGATTGGTTTTTAGGGCAAGAAAGTGTTTCCGAACCCCAACAGAATAATAATAGATTTATAGTTGTATACGATGTATAGAAATCCCTCTAGAAACCATTCTTTTTTGCAGTCATATTCATAACAATGCATAGCAATATTTCATTTTTGTTACTAAACTTAATTTTACAGAAAACGAAAGTAAAGTCAATGAAAATAACACTAAAAATAAAATAACCTGTTTCTGGCCAATAATAGTCCCTGAGATGAGGTCCACAATCACAGTCCAATAAACCTGAAAGGGACTTTCGTTGTAATTTTAAATGAGCCTCTTTAAGAGGGGTATATCACAACAGTATCCTTGACACCTAAATCTTCTCAAAAATATAGAAGATAACGTTGTTTTTCTAACTTGAAAACTGTTTAATCTCTTAATTTATTGAGAAAATAAGAGGAAAAATAATCAGTTTTTAAAAACCAAAACCATAAATATATAATTCATGCATGACCAATTCAAAATAACTTTAAAGGATACCGTAGTGGAACGGTTATCCCACTCTGAGGGTCATTTAAAATTATTTTTATAGTCTATTATTTTTTTTAAATTTGGACAATTGAGTTTATACAGGGTGTCCCACGAAGCATGACAGTTGGTAAATAGTTTATAATGTCTTCTTCCAGATTTTTTTTAAGTTGTTTAACAAATTGCCCCCCCTCCCCCTCTAAATCCCATGTTTGATGTCCAAATATGACAAACGATACATCATTGGAAAGCTCTTGTATTCTACTTTAAGAATCTGCAAATTTGCAAAAATTGAATTTTTTATTGCAAAATCCAGTTATATAGTAAAAATGTTTGCAAAAATAAATTTGTGCAAAAAATTAAAAAATTATACATTTTTGAAAAGCCCTTGACCATGCCATTTCAAATACGCAAAAAGTTTTGCAAAATTTTAAATAACCTGATTTTTAATCAAGAAAAACTAAAAATGTGCAAATTTTCCTTTGACAGGTTGTTTGCAAAAAATTTGCAATTTTTTTCGCAAAACTTTCCTTATGTCAAAGCTTTCCAAAAAGCTAAATTTTATCAAAATCTGACAAGTGGAAGTGGGTCAAAACAAAGATTTAGTTTGTTACAGGAAAAAGCAGTCATTCAGGCAGTGTGCCTGAGGACTGAGGCAGTTAGTATTAAAGCCCGGTTTTAGGCCTAAAGGAAGGGCTTTGGGTATGTAGGAAAAGTCAGAAAATTTCAACAGCCTCACACCAACACTTTTTGAGTTATGTAAACAAAACTACAGGGGGGGTCAAATTGACCCCCCCCCCCCCAGCAGGAATAGGGTTAATAGAAATAAATATTACATAGGAGTCATATTATAGTAAAATTAATTTCAAAGTAAAATATATTTGGGCAAAATATTTGTTTAACGAATTAAACTGCATAAAGCCTCTATTATGTAATACAGTGTATGGAAGACGACAATTCAAAATATTTACCAACTGTCATGTTTCGTGAGACACCCTGTATCTGCTTTAAATTTTTAAGACGGAAAAGTGCTTATAGATTTCTAGAGGAATAATGCACATGTTTCTTTTTTCCATGACAATTTTTTTGTAGAATATATCGCGTGCGAACTTTTATTAATATATGTGGAAATAAGTACGTACCTGTTTGATTATTAGTGATAACTATAGTTCCTTCAGGACAAAACCCCTTCACATGTTCACAATCATTCATTTATTTATTTATTTATTTATTTATTAATTCATTTATAATGTATGCTTTAGTTCTGATATATACTCATTTGTTAAAAGACAATTTATTTATTCTCTTTAATTTATTTTAAGTTGTTTTCAATAAAAGGCCACATTTGCAGATATGTAATATCGTAATTTCATCTAACATCTTTGAAATACCTACATTTACGCTAGATACATTAGAAAAGATTGTTCATGCAGACCATAAAGCTGAAAATTGTACAACCCCTTGTGCATCATGAACTCGTCATACAAAAAAGGCAATGAATACGTTTTACTTCTCGGGGTCAATCTTTAGAAAACATTTTTTAACTGATCAATATCTAGTCATTCTGAATAGTATGTACTTATACTAGTCCGCATACAAAACTAGCATTTGTAATGAGTGTAAACAATACTTACCACAACTAGGGTTTGTAGAGAACGAAAAATTTAGCGGAAAAATACGAAAATTTTTGCTCGTATTTCGCAAACTTTTGGCATAATTTCGATTTTTTTTGGTGAAAAATGAATTAAGTGAAAAAATGCAAAACGAAGCGAAAACAATTAATTGATCAAAAAAATTGTGGAATTCTTGATGCAGCTGAAAGCTCAGCATTAACAGTTTCATTATATCATAATAAATAATTTCTCTTCTCATTACTTTAATAAGTGTATGATGACAAATTCGCAACAATTTTGTGTTTTCTTTGAGGAATTTTCGTATTTTTTGAAAAAATTTCGAATTTCTTATTTTGCGAACCAGCATCAAAGCGAAAAGTTTGGCATTTTTCGCGAGCGAACGAAATCCGAAAAAATGCGAAATAGTCCCCTTTCGCTGGAAACCTTGAACGCAACTCTTTTTATTCAAGGTATGGTGTAGACGAAATGAGCTATCTAGTCTAATTTATCTAGGGTTAATAATCTTATTAGTTTATTTCTTTTTCATTTAAACTTCTTTTATCTTATGAACAAATAATTAGGAAAAGTTTAAGTATAATGTTTTAATATATAATCAATTAATAAAAGTGAATGATTTGATTCCTGTGTATAAAGTTCTATGCATGCTCCTGAACCGTTCTGTACATGACTTTTGAAACAGTTACACTCTGCCTCCCTGCAGTACATAAATACAGTAAACCAGTTTAAGCATGACAGAGATCCAGACAGCTGTAAAAGTTTATTTTCAAAACTTGGTCGAGTCAAGAACTAGAAATGCTGCAACTTCTTGCCGGTCTTTGGGTTTACCTTGCTTTCGTATTGTTCCCGAAGTAATGCTCGTGTACTAACCTAGTAGTAGTATTGTACCCGAAGTACTGCTCACGTACTAACCTAGTAGTAGTATTGTACCCGAAGTACTGCTCATAGTAGTAGTATTGTACCCGAAGTACTGCTCGTGTACTAACCTAGTAGTAGTATTGTACCCGAAGTACTGCTCATGTACTAACCTAGTAGTAGTATTGTACCCGAAGTACTGCTCATGTACTAACCTAGTAGTAGTATTGTACCCGAAGTACTGCTCTTGTACTAACCTAGTAGTAGTATTGCACCCGAAGTACTGCTCACGTACTAACCTAGTAGTAGTATTGTACCCGAAGTACTGCTCACGTACTAACCTAGTAGTAGTATTGTACCCGAAGTACTGCTCTTGTACTAACCCAATAGTAGTATTGTACCCGAAGTACTGCTCTTGTACTAACCTAGTAGTAGTATTGTACCCGAAGTACTGCTCACGTACTAACCTAGTAGTAGTATTGTACCCGAAGTACTGCTCACGTACTAACCTAGTAGTAGTATTGTACCCGAAGTACTGCTCTTGTACTAACCTAGTAGTAGTATTGTACCCGAAGTACTGCTCACGTACTAACCTAGTAGTAGTATTGTACCCGAAGTACTGTCCCTCCTGACAGGGTCCCCTGGACTCCTGTTCAAAACATTCTCCTGTTTCTTTCCAATAATACGCATCCCACTCCTGTAAATTTATTAAATTAGATCAACGTAAGTGTTCAAGGATTTCAAAATGAACATTAAATGTTTTAAGGAATAGCGGATATTTAAATTTGTATTTGATAATTTAAAATTTTAGATTAAAAAATAGAGCAAGTCCTTGTAACCATAACTGAATTTTGTAGATCTGTAGATTTCAAAAATATAATTTCCCAACTTCAGGAGACGTAAGTTCCAAATCGTGCTTATGTTTCAAAATCTGACAATGAGTGTCAGGTTTATGCCAAAGCATGGCTCGGACCTTTCTTCCTCTAAACTTAAACTAATTAGATTCCAGACTTCGGTAATAAAAAAAGTTAATTTTGAACTCAAATGGAAAAAGCGGGGGGGGGGGGCGGGGGGACTTTTGCATAAGTTAAAACCCACTTCGCCTCTTTTAGAAATGATTTTACCTTTCTACAATGACATCCAGGACCTTCTTTTTCAGCATCAAGATAAAATAAACTTCCCTTATTACAAGGTCCCTGAATAAAGATAAAATGTTTTACCGCCTTTTGACCAAAATGATTCCCCAACAGAAGGAGGTCTAGTTACTAAACTTCCCTTGGGACAGTTATGAAAAATAACCACCCGCTCTTTTCATCTCAAAAGACGATAAACTTGTGTACAACTATGTACTTTTTCTTATAACCTCGGTTTCCCACGACCAACTTTGTCTTCCCTGAAATGTTAAGTAGTTGAAAACAGCTATTAACAATGGTTATTATAGTTCAGCTTTCGTGGCTTTAGTTCAATTAAAAATCTATTCGGCTATGATTAAAATTTTATTTTCTATGGCTCTCTATGTTTTAGTTTCACTTCACTCAATTTCACTCTCTCCCTCTCTGAGCCCTTTTTGCAGTTTAATGTGGAGGTGAAAAAACTTGAAAATCTTCTTGATATACAGGGTGTCCCACGAAACTTGACAGTAGAAAGAAAGGTCGTCGTTGGGCGTCAAAATTATTTGAATAAATGCCGCAAATTAGTTTAAAGATCAAATGCGACCTTCGAAAAGCTAGGGAAGGCAGGCGGCCATGAGCCACAACATTTTCCCCTTCCATGCCACATATTATCTTTTTGCAACTTTTAAAAATATTGGCGCATTACGCGAAAGATCATACCTTAAAGAATTTTAGAAGTTTATTAAAGATCAATGAATTGTGTGTTCAGTTGTTAAACTGCTTTAAATTAAACAAAGAAAATTTTTCAAAATTGTTTAGGGTAGTCTAAAGAATCAGAAAAGATGAGAAAAATCCCAACATTAACTGTCATTACCTGAGCGTTACAAATTTCATAAAAAAAATATTCTATTTTGCAATTTTCTTGTTAAATATTGCAAATTTTTGGTTATGGGCGCGCCATTCGAACTTTAAGAGGATGTTATGGTCCATCATTTTTATTTTTCATAATGTTTTAAAAATAAACCATTTTATAGGAAATATGGAATTTTTTTTGGAAAAAAAGTTTAGCAACTTATGAAAAAATAATCGTCATTATATTTTCATTTAAAATTTAAATACAAAGTTCTTTATTCATATCTTTTTTATGAAGTCGCTAAGTTTTTGAAAATCACAATTTCAATGGACTAAATTTATTATTTAAGAACGTAATTACTGCCAGAAGACTCAAATGCTGTGACATGGAGGATCGTAAGGTTGTGGGTCATGATGGCTACAGGAGACAAAAAGCTAATATGTGGCATGGATGTGAAAAAATGTTGTGGCTTATGGCTTCTTCAAATCGTCCCTGATCTGTCATGTATCGTGAAATACCAGAGTATATTGTGTCTGATCTGTCATGTATTGTGGAATACCTGATTATATTGTCTCTGAGTTGTCATGTATCGTGGAATACCTGAGTATATTGTCTCTGAGTTGTCATGTATCGTGGAATACCTGAGTATATTGTCTCTAAGTTGTCATGTATCGTGGAATACCTGAGTATATTGTCTCTGAGTAGTCATGTATCGTGGAATACCTGAGTATATTGTCTCTGATCTGTCATGTATCGTGGAATGCCTGAGTATATTGTTTCTGATCTGTCATGTATCGTGAAATACCTGAGTATATTGTCTTTGAGTTGTCATGTATCGTGGAATACCTGAGTATATTGTCTCTAAGTTGTCATGTATCGTGGAATACCTGAGTATATTGTCTCTGAGTTGTCATCTATCGTGGAATACCTGAGTATATTGTCTGTAGCATCTTTGATGAGGAGACCACCAATGCCAGTTGTCGAATCTAGAGTATACGCGGCATCAGATTAGGATATTAGTAAAGAAAAGTTTTCTGAAGAAAAATGAAAATAAAAATGCTTTCAGTTGTTTTGTTAAACAAAACAACATCTTCAATACTTGTTGGACCATAATTGGACCATAATTAGATATAAATATCAAATCTGGTGTTTCCTGTGTTTCATATGATATCTATGGATTTTAAATAAATACCATTTTTTTACCTTTTACAATACTTTTTCTCCTCACAGCGCCCCCCTTCCTTCCTGTTCCAAACAAACCATTCTCCAAACTAAAAATTAATTGCTATAATTTTACTAAAACGTTTTTGATAATTTCGCACAATGCTTTTTCCTGCCAAATCTTGTAAAAGATAAAAGTTCAAAATTATGAAATTGTGAAAATATGTACATGTATCAAACAACACAGGTGTAAAAAAAATGCTAGAAAGGTGTGAAAACTTGTCAAGCTCAATCAAAAAACTTTCACGCAATAATTATACTGCACGGAATTTATATTGTCTGTTTCGATCCTTATATATATGATTCCCTGAACCTGTACAGTGTACACTTATTTCATTCTTTGCCAAATCTTAAAATGAGTCAATTAAAGACATATTTGAAGAGTTTCAGGTCGTCTTTACATTATGATCCTTTGAGGGTAACCCTGTATTATAATATAGATGTACAATGTACATTCTGTATATTGAGGAATGGTAAAAAAACTTTAATTGTTTACGCCTACCTCGCATGGACCCCTAGTAAAAGGTTCAAAACATTTTCCGGATTCTGTTAAAGAATTCAAGGGCAGACATCTGAACAATAATTTTTCATTTTTAAATTTTAAAATTTTAAATAAATCGGCAACATTTTCTTTGTTAAAAATTAAATTATTATTTAAAAACTGTTCCTGCATTCGGTGAGAGCTGTGTCAGTGCCCTTCATGTAGCATGGAGTTCCTGCAATTGTTGAAAACTTTAAAACATCATTTTACAACAATTTACTGAGTGGGGATTTAATACGTTAACTATAAGTTAATTACATTTAATTTTAAAATCCTACATACATACATATTCTCAAACTCAACAACACGAAAAAAGATCTTTTTCTCTCTCACTTTTTGGGGCAAACTAAATTACGAGGTTACAAAGTCGTACTTAAAGTCAACACTTTGATGCAATTTTTTTTATGTTTTAAAGATTCCTTGACAGTTCTCCATTTGCTGACAGGGACCTACAGTGTTTAGCTCATAGCAGGCACCGTCCTAAAAACAAAAAAGAAAATTAGCAAATTTTTTTTCTAATTTTGAGAAAAATTGTTTAGTGACAATAAAACTGTTTTTTTTAAAGTTTCGTAGATTTTCATAACAATATTCGTCATTTTTAGAAATAAAATAAAAGTGTTAATCGGATGTGAAAAATATTTGATTTATAAAGTTACTTAACTACTTATCTTTAACTGTCTTATCAACTTTAGATTTGCGACCCAATGCATATGGTGTAAACTTTGGTGGTTAGAACTCTTAGATCTAATTCATATTATTAAAACTTCAAAGGTCTACGACAAAGACATAAGAAGATATAAGATATAAGATATAAGAAGATATAAGTTACAAAAATTAAGTTCCTTCGAAAATAATTACTAAATTTTATTTACGGAGTGGTATTTTTTATATTCAATGTATATTCTAATTCTATATCAAACTACCTTTTAATTGTGTTAATAGTTAAGAAAAAATGTTTTATTGTTGATATTTTTACTCTTTTTGTTTGTTTTTTGTTTAAAATTAAGAAAACTTGAGTTTAAAACTTAAACAAAGAAAGGAAAAGAAAAATCCTGGCAGGAAAACATATTTTTCAACGATATGGTGGAATACATAATTATTCTCAAGGTGTAGTGAATGTAAGATATACACTCTTTACAAATCCTCATATCCCCAGGCTCCTCCATTCTCACAAATTACATCTATTGCATCTTGGATGCTCTATTCCCCAACCCCCACCTTACATCTTTTGTACCTTACATATATTACACCTTGGATATCCTATTCACCCACCTTAAATACATTACACCTTGGATATCCTATTCATCCCACTTACATATATTGCACCTTGGATATCCTATTCACCCACCTTACATATATTACACCTTGGGTATCCTATTCATCCCACTTAAATCTATCACACCTTGGATATCCCATCCACCCCTTCAAACCTTACATCTATCGCACCTTGGATATCCCATCCACCCCTCCAAACCTGACATCTATCGCACCTTGGATATCCCATCCACCCCTCCAAACCTGACATCTATTGCATCTTGGATATCCCATCCACCCCTCCAAACCTGACATCTATTGCACTTACTTTGGATATCCCATCCACCCCTCCAAACCTTACATCTATCGCACCTTGGATATCCCATCCACCCCTCCAAACCTTACATCTATCGCACCTTGGATATCCCATCCACCCCTCCAAACCTTACATCTATCGCACCTTGGATATCTTACCTCAGGATTAAAGTTGAAGTTTCCCTCACACCTACACTCTGGTTTCAGGGTAGTGTAGTTGAAACTTAGCACATGACCCAGGGGACAAGGACCTCTGCAAATATAAGCACGTGATTTGACAAGGTCCTCTAGAAATATATAAATATGGACGTGATTTGACAAGGTTCTCTGGAAATATATAAATATGGACGTGATTTTACAAGGTCCTATAGAAATATTTAAATAAGCACGTGATTTGACAAGGTCCTATATAAATACATAAATAAGCACGTTAAGGAATGATTTCTTCAACAAATAATGAAGCACTTGAAAGGACAAGGTCCTCGCTTGATAAAAAAAAACACGTGAAAGGACAAGGTCCTCTCCAAATAAGTATGAAAGGACATGGTCCTCTTCAATTAAAAAAACCACGTTAAAGGACATGGTCCTCTCCAAATAAGTAAGCAAGTAAAGGGACAAGAAGGTCCTCTCAATAAAGATAAACATTTTCTATAGCTTTGAATTTTTTTTAAAAAGAAAGAACCTATAGCGGTTAATTCTAAATAATGTCTATTATGAAGATATTTACCCCGCCCCCCTCTCTAAAGAAAACAAATATTTTCAAATCGCTTCTTTACCTTGAATAATGCTCATAACACTTGTTGTCTGGTTCATAATAATACATTGTTAGATTTCTGTTACAGCTGCAAAACCCTTCTTCCTTAGAAATTAGAATGTAGTGTAGAATTAAAATCTATAAAAGTAAAAATTGTTCTTTTAATGCGATAAGTGGGGTCTATGTTTCTTTTAATGCGATAAGTGGGACCTATGTTTCTTTTTATGCGATAAGTGGGGTCTATGTTGCCGGAAATAGGGAAAATCTTGAATATCAAAACCATTTTAAAAAGAGGTATTATTATTGAAGAGTTCTGCAAGATGAAATTTAGTGGTTTGAGAAGCATCTTTAGAAATCCATTTAAATATTTTTCTAGAACTTTTAGAGTCTTGACTCTTAAATATAAAACTTTGTTGACAAAGAAATTTAAAGGAATTAGGTCTTTGCCACAAACTCAAATTTCTTAATGCAATTATCTTTGCAACCTGAAGATATAAACCTTTGATATTTCAAACTTAGATCATTTGATCTAACCAAATCAATAGTTTAAAATATCTAAGGTCTGCAACATTGGGTTGTTAAGATAAGCAATTAAAATCAGAGTTTGTGGCAAAGACTAAATTACTTTACTAGAAAACCTGTTTTTAAAAGTTGATTTTCCGTTCCTTAGTTTTAGAAAATATTAAAATGGTACCTTATCAGCCATTACTATTGTTCCCAGCTCACAAGGACCCTGTTCATTTATAGATTTATTTTTGTGAATTATTAACAAAGGCACTGAGTCTTTGTAACAAACTCTGATTTTCTAATACCTTTATTTTTTCCACCTGATGGTGTAAACCTTTGATATTTCAAACTTGGATTTTTTCATCTAACAGAATTCATAGTTTGAAATATCTAAGGTCTACGGTATTGGATTACAAAGATATAGAGATTAGAAAATCATAGTTTGTGACAAAGACTGAATTCCTTTATTTTTGATTTATTTGATCGATTTATTAATATAATATAAATGTCAATAAACCTTTCCTGTGAATATTCTTGGTAACATTTTCCATCCTCATATCTAAATAATTTATTTATATTTTTAATGAAAAGATGAGTTGTTTTTTAAATTATCAGAAAGCATTAGAACTGTGTGGAACATGTCTTGTCCCTCGGGGTAAGTTGTCTCTACTTAATATGTAAATTTGTAAGAAAAAGTCGGAATTTATTGTAACTAGGAAAAAAATATTTAAAAAGTTTGAAAACTTGATTTCTTTAAAACCTATGCACAACACAGCATACAGGGTTACCCACAAAGAAACTTTAATGACTATACCTTATCTGGAACTCTCTAATTTCAATTTAATTCATCAAAAAAAAAATTATTTCATAACTATATAAACAGAAAATAAAAAAAAAACAATTGAATTGCACATTTTTTCTACTTTTTCAGTTTACAAAGGAACAGATTTTTTAGAACTAAAAATTAGAACTAAATTTTTAAACTAAAAATTTTTTTACAATGAGACCCAAAAAACTGTGGAATCTGAGCAATCTTGTGTGCATTGGATGTTGGATGTTGTTTAACTACTGCTTTAAAAAAAACTAATACACCGAGATGGAGTTGTTGTGATACAGTGTTTCATGCTTATTGAACTGTTAATAATCAAAACTTGAGTTTAACAGTCGTATTTCTGTTACGCAGTCATGTGTCTCATTGTATAATGTAATAAATTTATAACAATATGTTCAAAGGAATTGAGTCTTTGCCACAAACTATGATTTTCTAATCACTATATCTTTGGAACCAAATGTTACAGACCTTAGATATTTCAAACTATGAATTCTGTTGAATCAAATAATCAGAGTTTGAAATATCAAAGATTTACAACATCGGAATCTAAAGATATTGGGGTTTAAATATTTGATTTGTTACAAAGACTCAATTCCTTTGCAATACAAATTAGAGAATTCTGCAGAGTCTCTAATGTATAATCTATGTATGTGACTTGCAAAAAAGCATATATCTGTTAATTAAAAAAAAAATTAAAAATATCATACTTAGCCCAGAATACAGGACAGGAACACTCTGCTGCTCCCAGAGATGGTTCATAAACCAACCTTAACATATTCTTACTTTTCTAGATATTAAAGAGACGTAATTTCATGTAAATCGTCATTTAAATAGTGCCAAGTCCGAATCACATTCAAACCTGTATCTGAATAACAATAAGAAAGATATCGGGGTTTTTCTATCTACAATATGGTACCATTGTAAGTCTGACCTAGAACTACAAATTTGAAATTAAGTCTCCGCTGGTCCCACAAAGAATTTTTTTGGTCAGGGGAGAGCGTATTTTCTTTAGCATCTTTACTTTATAGCTTTCGATTTTAAAAGCAAGCACATCTCTAACGCATTTAAAAACACAAATTTCTTAAAAGTTCTAAAAGAGTATTTATTAAAAATCTACCTATGCCCTTCTAGGCAGGGCCCACGACTGAACTCTCTGTATATTGGAAAAATATATTTTTATAAAGATCTGGAAAGTTTTTATTAAAAGTGTTTGATTGAATTATAGAAATACTTTATTTGTTCGAAAAACAGTATTTGTAAACAAAATTAAATCAGTTTTGGTTTGGTAAATAAAATTGGTTTGGTTTGGTGTGAATGTAAATGGTTTTGTTTGGTGTAAAATATAAATGATTTGGTTTGGTGTTAAATATGACTGGTTTGGTTTGGTGTAAAATATAAATGGTTTGGTTTGGTGTGAAATATCAACGGTTTGGGTTGGTGTAAAATATAAATGGTTTGATTTGATGTAAAATATACATGGTTTGGTTTGGTGTTAAATATAAATGGTTTGGTTTGGTGTGAAATATAAATGGTTCAGTTTGGTGTACCAAATAAATGGTTTGGTGGAATATATAAATAGTTTGGTTTGGTGTGAAATATCAATGGTTTGGTTTGGTGTGAAATATCAATGGTTTAGTTTGGTGTGAAATATAAATCAGGCCCGTAGCCAGGGGGGGTGCAAGGGTGCAGGTGCACCCCCCTTTCTTCTGAAAGAGGGGTGCAATGACGAATTTGCACCCCCCCCCTAGTCCCATATAAAAACAAAACCAAACACTCTTTAAAAAATCATTAAAACCCCCCCAAAAAAATTTTCGTCTGCGGCGCGTCATATTCCACCCCCCCCCCCTGGTCAAATCCTGGTTACGGCCCTGATATAAATAGTTTGGTTTGTGTGAAATATAAATGCAGATGGTTTGGATTGATTTTGATCTTTCCTTCCTGTAGCATAGATTATCCTCCTCCCAGAGTAGATGATAGTTCTCACAGACACAGATACCTTCCTCTCCTACAGGAGGACATACAGGAGGAATACCTCCTCCTCCTCCCCCTCCTCCTTCCCTTCCTACACCGTCCTCATCAATACCTTCTCCAGTTCTAATAAAATTTATCAATTTAAATTTTATATAAGCTGAGCTTTCAGGGCTTCGTGTCAATCTACTATTTCAATAGTGAACATTTTCTCTTTGGAAAGCAAAAACAAAAAAGTTCGCGGATTTATAAAAAAAAATTCCTAAATTTTCAAAATTTAATGAAAATAGAATTTTTTTTGAGGTAATTTCAAAATTTTCTTTTGATCATCCATTAACCTTCCCTGGGGTCATGTGGGGTCCCCAAAAACTACTCAAGAATACATTTTTGTGGAAAACTGTAAAATAGGAAGACGACTTTTAGATTAAAGTTAGGATATTTTAAATCAAGAAATCCTGTTTTCAGTTTTCAGCATAAATAATATGAGTACTGAAAGAATTCATTGCTAGAAAGAATGCTTTAAACATTCCAATTTCCAACATATAGAAAGAATTCTTTTAACATTCCAATTTCCAAACTATAGAAAGAATTCTTTAAACATTCCAATTTCCAAACTATAGAAAGAATTCTTTAAACATTCCAATTTTCAAACTATAGAAAGAATTCTTTAAACATTCCAATTTCCAATCTATGTCATAAGGTTAGATTCAAATCCATTGCAATATTACTGGTACAACTGTATAACCTTGTAGCACCTTGAGTTTTGATTTTACGTCCAAGTATGAGAAGAACAAAGTTATTTTGTTTTATATAAGCAATCCAAAATTAGTTTAACTATTTTCAATAGCTGTTTAGAAACAGAAATTATGAACAAAAACATAAACGATTTCTATTTAACGTGAAGTTATTTTGACGTGGGAATGTGGCCAGTTTGTTAAAATTAACAAAAAAATTATCTTTGTCAGAAAAAAGCACTGATTTACTCAGTGTTTTCCTGAACTCTTTGGAAAGCTTTAATTGTTGTAATTTTTTACTCCTACGCATGAAGAAAAAATGCCTAATTTTTCCTGTTTAGTAACCTTTTTTTCTTTGACCTTTCTCAAATTAAACCTGAGATAGGGGTTTAATCATGCGGATAACAAGTGCACAAATTGAACAGCAAAATTGCGTATCGTACTGAAATATCAGAGATGTTAACTTCATTAAGAATATGTAGTTTGTATTTGTTACAAGGTGAACTTTGAGATTGTAATGTAGTCAGAAATATCAGTTAAAGGTAATGTAAGCGTAATTTCAAGTGACCCTCCATGACCCTTGACACCTTTATCTGATCCAAAAATGTGGAGGATACTGTCGGTTTTTCAGACATGAAAAGTGTTTATTTCTCCATTGCTTCTCATAAGCAAGAAATGCGAAGGTCACTTTAACAATACAATAAAAATAAGTAGTTAAAAGAACCAAAAATGTACAGAGCGTCCCATATCAAATAAGATTATCTCCAATCTTTAACGCCAAAATAAACCCTTAATACTCGAAAAACTTATCATTTTTTGCAAGAAAATTCTTATATAAGCCTTATGTTATTTTTTAAAATCATTCATTCTTATTAAATTTTCTGATTAGTCTCTAAAATTGCAATTTAGACCCGTTGACGGTCTAATATGATGTGGGACACCCTGTATATCTAATTCATCAGATAAACCTTTAACATGTAACGCTGTAAAACGAGGTAAATTTGCATGGAGGGTCACTTGAAATTACGCTTAAATAGTTCCTTAAAAACTTGCAAAATCTTTAGAAATGGAAAGTAAGATTTAAGATTGAACGAAAACGGTTTTCATGCTTTATTCTTGTTTTATAGTTTACTGTTATTAATATGATGCATTTTTGTCCTATCAGCATATCTAGCGCATTTTACTATATTTGGGTTCGACAGAGTACCGTGTCAAATTCACACCGGAACCCTATAAACTTTTGATATGAATAAGATATTCTTATTTGTCTAGCTAGAAATTGATTATTTGAAATTGAAGTTTTTCTTTTAAAAAAGTTGGGCATTTAAGCTTAAGAGATGATAAAAGGAATTATTTCTCAGACAGCTGTTTAATGGGTATCATTGTGAATTGGGCATACTCACTTTAAAAGTATAAAAATCAAGAAAACTGTTTTGGTTGTACTCAAGGATATTAACATCTTACTGGTTTTCTTTCTACTGCACATGTAACAAAACCATACTTTCCAATAAACAATTCAATTTTTTAAACAAAAGGTTAAAAAATCTACAAAATATATTTTACTGATTTTATCGGATGTTTTGTATTCGTGAAAATGCATAGTTGAAATATGTCTAAAAGTGAAAGTTATCGGACTGCCTGATGGATGTGGTGTGTGTTTGAGTGTTTGTGTGTGTTCAGGATGCTAAATACACATTCTTAACATAGGTTTCTTATATATCTCAAACTGGTTTGTAATATACTTATTTATACTATGCGTATAAATTCAAATTCCTTACCGCAGTAAACCACAATATTTTCATTCTTTACGTATATCCCACGCGCTTGCGTACAATTATTAAAATTATAAGATAAAAAAGTTGATTTATTTACGGTGGTAGGCGATTATATCAATATAATGAAGATGGCTTTCGATTTCAATTTTGATTTATATCAAGCTTTTAAACAGTATGGATACACAAAACATGGAAACAAAGAGAAGCAATCAATCAATTAAGAAATCTTCTCTTTAATTATTTGAGAACTTGTAATAAAAAAGCTTGTTAATAATAAAACAATAAATCAAAAGTCGTCTTCATTATATTAATATAATCGCCTACCACCGTAGTAAACAATTAGTTTAACATTTTTACACGAATTATTCCAAAGAAAAAATTAAATCTAGTCTTGCTTTAGTCAATATTTCGGAGTTTATGATATTGTAAAAGTCGAGTCAATAATAGTACTGCAGCCTTCACACTTGTATGCCGATTCCATTAGCACCTGATCCAATCAGGGTTCAGTCATGTGTTTGGTGTATATTCTAAACCAATAGAAATTGTATTGCTTTAACATCTATCTTTCTATCAATCTCATTATCCAATCAGAGTTATGAATCCTTAAATCCTTAAATCGGCGCTAAACAGTACTTCTACTGAAACTATAGTGCTTTATGTTATTAACTTTTCTGCATATTTAATAAATATTTTATTCTTTAACATAAATAGTTTTGACAATCTTACAATAATTCTTCTAATACTGATTCTTTACTAAACTTTAACATATTGCATAATTAATAAAAAAAACGGCAAATTCATAAATCGTATTTTATATGAACATTTCGAGGCAAGCTGTCACTTTCAATCCAAATTTGACAAATTGAATATAAAATTTTCATTTTTTCTCTTCCACACTTTATTGTCGATGTAAATGTTTTAAATAAGTAAAGTATCAAAAACAACTTGGTAAGTTTAAAGATTTGAATTATGAACCAAAATATGATTGAATTCAAATTATAGAAACCGAACGCATCTAGCCCTAGGTACTGGTTTGTAGTTCTTGGTGATACGTTCATAATAATTCCAACAAACATTTACAGACAGCTAGCAAGAGAAAGAATGGTTTGATGCGTAAATACGTATTATGATTTTACCTTAGTTAATTTGTTTGTTTTTTTGCACAGCGGTACCTGGTGTTTCTAATCGGAATTCCATTGCGCGGAATTGTACAGAATTGCATGGAACTGTTTTCGTATTGCGCGGAATTGCGAGGAAATTACTGGGCTCACAATTTTGCGCAATTAAAATCAACTTGCATTGGAAACCAGCTAGTGGTACTTTGGTACCCATAATACTGTGGAAAAGGAAGATTATTGTTAAACTCAATTTATGATGTTTAATAGTCTTAATGGGCTTAAAAAACAACAAATGTGCAGTGTACATCAAATAAGATTGCGTAGGTGTCGTCTTCCTTTTTCATAGCTTTATGGATCCTACTGTAGAATGAACTATAAAAATCCAAAATAAGTATCTTCCGAGGCACAGCCATCATCAAAACACCTAAAAAATATTAATTTCAGATCAATGCAAAAAATGTCACAAGTCTTTAATTTAAACAAAAAAAATATGGTTTTTTCTCTAAGGATCTAAAAAATGTAACTCTCTAAACATCTGTTTGTTTAAAAGCACCTCAGATTACATCTCAAATAAATTAATATTTAATAAATGAGCCCACCACATTAAGCCCAATAATCAATGCAAGTCATTAAAGAAAGTGAAAATTTACCTTAAACTGAAGTAAGAGCATCCAGTGCATCTATTACAGTTAGAGCAGGTCAGCCCTTCACTACATATTCCATAAATATCGTCTTCCCCTCCACACACTTCCCCTTTAATACAGTAAGAGCAGGTTAGTCCTTTACTACATATTCCATAAATATCGTCTTCACCACCACACACTTCCCCTTTAATACAGTTAGAGCAGGTCAGTCCTTCACTACATATTCCATAAATATCGTCTTCCCTCTACACACACTTCGCCTTTAATACAGTAAGAGAAGGTTAGTCCTTCACTACATACTCCTTAAATATACTCTTCACCACCACACACATCTCCTTTAGTACAGTTAGAGTAGGTTAGTCCTTTACTACATATGCAATAAATATCGTGTTCAACAATTACCACCACACACTTCCCGTTTAATACAGTAAGAGTAGGTTAGTCCTTTACTACATATGCAATAAATATCGTGTTCAACAATTACCACCACACACTTCTCCTTTAATACAGTTAGAGTAGGTTAGTCCTTCACTACATACTCCTTAAATATACTCTTCCTCTCCAGAATAAAGATCTTCACGTTTATTTCGTTTTTGAGACAATCTGTAGTTTTGGGAACAAAGAACTAGTTGATGAACTTTTTACCTGGTCCCTTCAGACAAACTGGTCCACAAGGTCCCTCCCCTAGTCCATAGAAACACTTCAAAGGGTTTGTCGCCTCCTCAGCTCTTAAATTTACAAAGTTTAACCTATCACATCCTGTCCTATCCTGTCCTATCCTGTCCTGTCCTATCCTGTCCTGTCCTGACCCTGTCCTGTCCTTTCTTGTCCTATCCTTTCCTATCCTGTCCTTTCCTGTCCTGTCCTTTCCTGTCCTGTCCTGTCCTATCATGTCCTGTCCTGTCTTGTCCTGTCCATTATAATTTTTTTTTCTAAACTTCAAGCAAAAAATTATTCCAGTGGATATTGTTATCATTATTTTTTCCTGTATTTTAAACAAAAATTTTTTACGTGAAAAGGAATAGTAGAATCTTAAAGGGAATGTAAACATCATTTCAAAAAATGGCATTGCCCGATTTACAATTGTACCTTTAACAGATTTTCTGATCAATTGTTAGAATCAGATATTGATGTTTATAATTTTGAAAACTGATTTTCTGATCAATTGTTAGAATCAGATATTGATGTTTATAATTTTGAAAACTGATTTTCTGATCAATTGTTAGAATCAGATATTGATGTTTTTAATTTTGAAAACTGATTTTCTGATCAATTGTTAGAATCAAATATTGATGTTTATAATTTTGAAAACTGATTATTTTCTATTCTGGGTTCTCCACAAATTTTATTTGCGTTGTAAATTGAGCATTGCCATCTTGGCATGGAGGGTCAGTTCCTTCAATAAGCATAAATTTCTAAAAAAAATATAACTATTTGCCCCCCCCCCCCTTTCTCAGGAATACCTTTTACACCAGATATTGGTTCTGTGGTGTGTTGTTAGACCCTGAAGTCTGATCAGAAGACAGAAAAAACACAGAAGTATCAACTCAACCCTGTAATTGTACGGTGAGAATCAGAAAACTGTGGAATAGGAAGAGGACCGTAATGATTTTAACATAGTCCATTGAACATGGAACACTGCAATTTTTCAGTTTGAACATACCACATACAGTGAAACCCTTAATAACGAATACATCGAAAGAGTTTATCAAATGTCGTCTTGACAATTTTTCAATGAGTTTTATACTATATTACGTAAATTTCAGTATTTGCGAAAATAAATAAATAACCACGAATATGCGGGAACAGTTTTAAAGAGTTCCATGTAATCATAAAATTAAAAACTAAATATCAGCAACATTACATTATCAGAAAGTGAAGAATACGACATTTTATGAATTCTTTCGATGTATTCGTTATTAAGGGTTTCACTGTACCATTTCACTAGATAAGTGATTATGAGGTTTATAGTTAACCAGATAACTTTGGAATAGGAAGACGACATTAAAGCAATACGGAAGTGCATTTGATGCGGTTACAAAGCAAATAGCTTTACTAGTAAGTTATTAAATAACTTATTAAGTGAAATGGGTCTGTTAACATTGCACAATTTCTCTCCCTCATGTTCCTTGGACTATTTAATGTAATATATTGAGTCTATTCCAGAGTTTTCTGGTTAATACTGTATTATCGTATCAAATCACTTATTTAGTTTAATTGCACTATTTTAAGTCTGAACTTTAGTCTAAAATTCAAAATCCTTTTCCAGATATTTCTGGTTCTCAATATAGAAAAAAATCAGCTGATTTCAACTAAACGCTGGTTTTAACGAAAGTCCAAACGTTTGTGATGAATAGCCCCAATACATAACGATTTGATCTCGATATCCCTTGTGACACTATTAAATTTGAAAATTTATGCCTCGATTTTAGTTTTCTCTGACATGGGTTCCGACGAAGATCAAACAAGAAATGATGTAAATAATTCTGAGATAGGATAATTAATCGATCCACATAATAAGGTTTGACCTCAGAATACCCAATTAAAAATGTATTACCTTATAATCACCATGATAGCTTCTGTTTCGATTTCGAACTATAAAATAATGTTCTTGTTGTGTTTTAAGTAGATACATATACGTAAATATGATACAAATGTCAAGTATGAACTGAGACGAGGTTAGAGTACATCTCTTCTAATAAACTACGAAATAAGTTTATTTGATTTTATTCTAAAAACATGGATTATGCACATGATCACTCAATAAAATCCCACATGTTATTTTATAACCGGAAACATGTCTAACAAGAATGTTATTTAAAAAAAAATACGAAGTTCTGAAAAATTGTATTAAATATATTTTACCAAACCACATAATTTAGATTTCTATGAAAAGTAGGAAGGAATTATTATTTAGGCAAAAAAGAATTTTTATTATTTGCAAATAACTGTCTTAAAAAAGTTCTAGACAACATGGGAGGGGGGGCAGGCATTGGCGCCCCCACGCATCTAACTCTCAGGGGGGGCAGATATTGACGCCCCCACGTACCTAACTCTGAGGGGGGGGGGCAGGTATTGGCGCCCCCACGTATCTAACTCTCAGGGGGGGCGGGGCAGATATTGGCGCTCCCACGTACCTAACTCTCAAAGAGATTAAAGAGACAGTAAGCGTAATGTCAAGTGCCTTTTATTTAAAGATGGACATCCTGGATGGGCAATAGCTGCAGATTCGTTCTACAGAAACTTTTAATGTTTTTAGACTTTAAAAGGTTTTACGACAATAAGAAGGTTCCAACATTTTAAAACTTTATTCTGTAGAAGTTTGCTTTTATTAAACATGCAAATTTGTTACCCAAGAAGAAAATATAAATCAAAAACGAGTTTTTGGATTTTTAAAACGATAGTTGTTAGTTGGTTTTTGTTTTTATATCTTTACTTAGGATAACAAATTTGCATGTTTGATAAAAACAAACTTCTACAGAATACAATTCTAAATCGTTGGACCCTTCTCAGATTGTCGTAAAACCTTTTAAAAGTCTAAAATATTAAAATTTTATGTAAAACAAATCTAGGTATATTGCCCATCGCTACTCACATCTGTACCCTTTAACCCTTTAACTGTTTAAGGATGATAGAATTTTTCTTTATTTATTTATACAAACGATATTATTTACACTGAACTCTTTTCCTCGAAGGTTTAAAGGAGGGTATAACCGTTATAAATCGAGTATGTCCCTCTTAAAATAAAAGGCCATTTACATTTTACACCTATACGTTCTATAATTGCTTCAGAAGACCGACAACTTTCAAACATCACGAGGATGAACATGAAAAAATTCATACCGAGAGATTCTTTTAATTCCTCTCTATATATTCTATTCTCTATGTATTTATCCTACACTACAAAATTGTCCACTTCGGAATTATACAGGTTGGCAATTATATCAATACAATAAACACGACTTTTCTATTTTATAGATTATTCTTTAATGCTTTGTAGAAATCAAAACTGAAAACGAAAGTGGAGTCTTCCTTGTATTGATATATATGACGACGACTGTAAATTGTTTTCTACTAAGGTACTGTAATTAATAAAGTAGGATGGCTGATTCCCAAATACACTCCTTATTGCTTTGTCAAATCAAGAATGAATTAGATATCCATGTTTTTGGTTTTTAAAAACTTATTATTTTAATATGTGGTTTTTTTTAGTAATTTTACGGGTCTCTTAAAATTACAACTACAGTCACTTTAATTTATATAAAAATAAACAAAAATATCAAATGTCGTCGTCCTCTGAAGTGATGTTAAAAATTTGAATTTCAGCTCATAAAACTGTGTTTTTGAATAAAAAAATTCATTTATGTTTCAAAAACAATGAACAGTTCCTGTATTATCTAGTAAACTCCAGAAATCAGTTCCTTTATTATCCAGTAAACTCCAGAAATAAGCAGTTTTCGTTGCAACTTTAGTGCTAATATCATTTTCACGTGTTTCAACTTCTAGTTTTTCCTTATAAAACAGTTCATGTTCTTTCACTTTCATCTCGTATTTTTTGCTCTAAAACATCTAGTTAAAAAATAATTGTTCACTCTGAACATTGATACGAAAATTTATTATATTTATTTTTTTTAGATTTTACATTTTAAATTGTTTTAAACAAGAGAGGAGTATTCTGAAGTTGGCACAAACACTTTGTGATATTTTTACAAATTTTTTTATATAAAAAATATATTTTTTTAATCTGAAATCTCATGCTGAGCTCTTTCTTTTATACTATTTAATGCCTAGTAACGATAGGTTTAATTGGAAGACGATATTTTGGTTCAGAATTTAGTTGCCTTAATATCAAAGCCAACTTTTGAGAAAATTCACATTCAAATTTTTGCAACATGACAAAAAAAATTTTCTATTTCTAAATTTTGACGATTCTTTAAAAGATTTATCCTGTAAGCTTTCTCACATTACTGTAGGCGTTGGATTTTCTCAGGGATGAATACTGTCTTGCATCAAACAAATCAATCACTAAATTAAACAAATCAATCACTAAATTAAACAAATCAATCACTAAATTAAACAAATCAATCACGGAGTCGGCTATTTTGAAATCATGGGTTGTAAAGTTTGACATCCTATTTGTTTTGTATTTTAAGTTTTTGTTTCTCCAAGAAATTCTTTGAAATCTAGCATAGTTAAAATCTAGTTAAAATTTGTATTCTCTAAAATCTTGATTCAATGAATTAAAATTATATAAAATGTGGACTTTGATAAATAATATAGATTTATTTTTGTTCAGGCTTCGTCTATATTCCGAGTAAACATTTTTGATAACATGATAAAATAAAACTCGTAAATAATACACTTTTGTGCTGCATATTAAACTTCGTAGATTTATATGGAACCCCCCGAAATCCCCCAAAGCTTGAATATTAAAAAACCGGATAAAATACGGCGGTATGCGATTTCATCAATATAATGAAGACGACTTTCTCTTTTAAATTTAATTTAAACCACATGTATAGAAATAAACATTAAAACAGAGAGAAGCTATCATTTAAAAAAGCTTCTCTTTACTTGCTTGTAAACTTGTAATTCGAAAAAAGGTTGTTAGTAATTAGAACTTAAATAAAAAAGCAGTTTTCATTATATTGCTATGATCGCTTATCACCGTAAGATATGCCACAAACTTCGAACACATCGAAAGATTTTATAAAACTAGGCTTGTAGGGTGCTTCACGCCCTCTTACTTGTTGTTTTATATTCTAACTGTTGCTCTGAAAGATCCCACACAAAATTTGGGCCCGATCGGTTCAGCCGTTTTGAGATTTATCCGTTACAAATAAACAGACAAACAGAAAAGCAAAGTATTTACATAGATGTCGTCCTGACAATATTTTAAAGGGAATTTTGCTGCTGAGAATTATATAACAAGGATATTAAACCCAAATATATATTAACAAGTACAATGAAATGGATCAATTATACACGTTGTCACAAGTGTAAAAAAAAACAAGAAAAAGGAAATGTTCTCACATTATTTGACATGTTTTCCAACATTAAATAAAAAAGTGTAGAACAGAAAATAAAAAACACATAAAATTGCACTTATTTTACTGTAAGATAAGCACTTTATTCTTAAATTATCCCTATTAGTAATAATTTTGTTTGACACAAAAACTGAATTGACACTTGTGACGTAAGAATACAGCTGTACTGAGAGTGTACTTGAATCTATTTGATTAAACCTATATCTCTGTATAAATATGTAAATAGGCATGACATATGTAGGAACATATGCTTCATATAATTATTAATTAGTTAATAAAAAACTAAATATCTGCGACATTCCATTATCAGCAGGTTTAGTAAACGACATTTTATTAATTATTTCGATGTCTCCGGTGTTAAACTGCAAATACTTCACCAATTCGGATGGTTTTCACTTAGAAACCATTGCTAAAAATTTCATGTAAAAAAATATCCAATATTGAATTAATTACCTTCTACATCAGCGTTAAATCCCGTTGGTAAACTTTTCCCCTCGCTCCCGTCGTCAAATACTGTTATTCGAACCTGAAATTTTAAATTTGGAGCGATTTCATTTTTTTCAAGTGCATTTTTGCATTTTTGTATTTTTGCCTTTTTGAATTTTTGCATTTTTGAATTTTTGCATTTTTGCATTTTTGCATGTTTGCATTTTTGCAAGAACATATATAATACTTGTATTGTGATAAAGAAAATAAATACTTATAAGGGTTTAATATATTTAAATGTGAACAAGAAGATAACACTGTTTAAGATTCACCCAACAGGTAAAAATAAAGACGAAATGAGACAATTGCACCATCTTTGTAATTTTAAAGATCTTGAGCTGAAACACAGCTTGGATAAATTAATGATCAAATTATCTAATTAGTTTTCGATTGAGTGTGAACCCTCAAATATACAATTGACATTGACATTGAAAAATATAAATTAGATTTAAAATTTGATTTTCTGAGTTCGGATTAGATGAACAGAAAGATTAAATCAACTATCCGTGCTAAGTTCATCTACTGTTTGCTTTTTATTAGATGCGACCTCCGGACGTTGGAATCTCCGGTCCCTAAAAGTTGTTACCTCAGATCTAGCGAAGATAACATGAGGTCTAGACCCGCCCTGAGTAACTCTATTCCCACACCATCGAGCTTCAAACCCGTTCTTTTCTCTCTCAACCTGGAACAATATATTGTAAACTTCGATTCATATATTAACACAGATAACATCTTGACTTCTTGAGACTATTGACATGATTTCTTGCATGATGCCCGTCTTTTAGGTATCTAGAGCAAGATGTACTGTAATATACATAGACTACAGAAAGCAAAACTAGGGAATATAAAGTGATGGAGATGTTTTATTCGAAGTACCCACTTTAATATCACGAAAAGAAAATGTGGACACTTCGAAATCATCTCCTTCTAGTGAATTTTGAACCTCTCTCTAGTCCAAAATTGTTTATTAAGGTTTGATACTCTGGATACGCTCCAATGAACTAAAAATGTCGTCTTCATAGCAATGGACACTCAAAATTCTCATCAGACGTAATTCGTAACTGTTTATTGGCGGAAGATGAAGTAACACCGTTGCGGGTGAAAAGGGGGAAGTATTTTCTCTGCTATGTACCAAGTATCTAACCAAAATGAACAACCTTGCTTTTTTCTGATTCAATGGAAAATGTCGTCTTACCTCTATATATGCTCCTGAGCACTGTACAGTGTATGGGGCGGACAGATTGTGAAAGGTGACGAGCAGATACAGATTCTTTTCAGTCTATAGAGAAAAAAAATATAAATTATTTAATACTTTAAGCACAAAAATGCCCTAAAAATCAACTCAATAAGATCAAATGCTAATTCAACGAAAAAATTAAAAAACAAGAGAAAAGTTTTTTTTTACTTTTTTCAACTTTTTTGGCAAAACAGAAAAACTTATCTCAAAAAAAAACTTTTTCTGTCTTAGGACTTTTTTTTCTTTAAATTGAAAAGGTGACATAAAAAATGAGTTTAACCTCTATAGTCCAGGTACAGCTGACTGAATCAGCCTCTCTTTTCATCCTCTGTCTAGGGTCCAGCAGACCTCGTTTTAAAGGTAGAGGCTGAGAGTCAAGGAACCTTAGAAAAATAGTATAAAAATTTCACATTTGTAAAAAGAAATCTGAATTATTTTTTCTTTCCTTGCTGATTTTTTTCCATGTTGATATTTTTAGATAAACATCACTTTTCAAACTTGATTCTCTACAGTAAGAACCAGACAACTGTGGAACAGGAAGACGACTTTTAGACTTAATTTATGATTTTAAATTCTGCAGTGCACAAACCATTTCACTTAGCCAGACATTTTTAATCTACTATATAGAGTAAATACATTTGCGTTGTGCTTGTAATAAACTAGATACACTTAAATATTGCTTTATCCATCAAATCTGGCTACAATGTATAAACTAAACATTTTTTTTAAGGTGACGATAAGCAATGCATTTTTTTAATTTACCTGAATAGTTGATGATCCGGGTTTCTTAGAGATTCTACAGGATCAAACATTGAATTTAAATCTCTAGGTTGACGGAGAGAACCCTCCTCCTCTCCTAGATCTTGATCCATCCTAGCCGCAGTAAAACCAGGGATGGTTCTACCCTGTTTGTATCTCTCCTCCAGATTAAGTCTCTCAATTTCATCATCTAAACATAATAAACAACTTTTATTCTAAGAAACCATTATAATTTTGTTGTTAAAATTCAATAAAGTGATTGAGAAAACTATGTATGACCAGTGATTCTTTATTTTTCAATTTAAAGAAATTACTTTTACAGTCCCTTTAATACTACACAAGCAGTTTCCTTACGGCATACAATTAAAGAAAAAAGTTAAAGCCTTCACATATTTTCAAGTGTTCCTAATTATATTCCTTTGTATCAAAAATTAATTTTGAGAATTTTTTTTTGAGAAAATATATAAGCTATTACTGTGCTACACATTACTAAAAAGCGACTTGTGAATTTTTAGAATACTTCAATTTTGGATAAGAAGCGTAATTCTATGCCATCGTTTCTTTGGAAGGGATTCTAAACCTTCAAGTGCAAAAAATAAAAAAAATTAACGATCTTCTTTAAATGATTTTTTTCTTAATATCTCCGGTAATATTAAAAGTACAAAAATGGCTGGCTACTTTTTTTTAAAATGCCAGAACCAGGGAAATTTTGTGACTATTGTTGCAAGAATCTTAAATGTAAAAAATTAGATTGACAAATTGATGCCGCAAAATATTTTAAATATCAACGACGACAATCGTGTGACACCCTCTACCTGCTGAGAGTTGAATAGAAACAGGTTCTCCTCTTGGACGCTTTTGCAGGACTTGCTCTGTCTGTTCTTTAGAGAACAAGGAACCGGTTTGAAACAGGTTGCCAAATATAGGTCGGCGGGTTGCGGGAATAGCTATTTGGCTGCTTTGAACCGAAGAATGAACATCATGGACAGGTCGTCTGTTCGGCTCCTTAAAAACAAATCATCAATATTTTTTTTCTAATGATGTCCCTACATTGAACCACTAAATTACAGATGTAAATAGTAAACAATACTGGTTCAGATACAAGTTTGTTTTTCTTTTTTATTATTCTAATGGTCAAATTTATTTTTATACACTTTTTACCTTTTTAAAAAAAGTAATTGCTTATTTGCAGAATGTTAAAAAAGTTATATGGAAGGAAAGAGAATTCATACAAATAAAAAGTGAAAAATGAAGAAAACCACTATAAAGCAAATATTTGAAATAATAGAGAAGTGAATGTTAGTCTGATATATAATACAAACGTTAAAATTTAGGAAATTTGGCAGCTTCCGAAAAGGTCTTCTGTCATGAAAACGGAATGAGTATTCTGGATTTTATTCTAGATTTAAACTGTAAACCGGAAATAACTATTCTAATACCTGGACTGAGACCGGAAGTGCTCCGGCTACCTGGGCACCTGCATCCTGACAAGTTCATTTTTTGTTATTTTCATTTATCATAATCTTTTCCGTCCAATTAAATTACTTAATTGATACCCAGGAACCAGATTTAATTACAAAGACAATATGTTGAACCGCTTGAATCTCTCCAGCTTGACCCGGCGCTTAAGAGAACTAGTTGAACCGGTCGTACGTGGTTCAACTACCTATAGCTATTTATGAAATCTGGTCCCTCATTATGTTTTATTTTCTAGCATAATAAAATCCTCTATGAATATTGCGATGGTAATTGATAGATGCAAATATGGACGACTTTTACATCAGAGATTAGATTAGATTAGAATAGCGAGACTGGGTTAAACCCATTCTCTTCAGCTGTTTCTAGCTTTTCAATTTTTATTAAATTTTGCCCCAATTTAAACCTTTTTTTACCTGGTTTGCGTAGAAGAATGATGGAAGAATGGATTTGAAAGGATTCAAATTTCCAAAATTATTTATTTTTTCCTTTTTCTTTTCCTTCTCTTCTTCTTCTTTTATCAATACTTTTGGAGGCTCCTCAACTCTAAAAAGAGTATATTTAATTTATTCAAAGTCAAATAAGACATAAAATGTATTATGCAAAACGTAAATTGTGTCACAATGAATTTTTAAGAAAAAAATTAACTTATATCGTTTTTTTTCATTATAATTCAATTCAATCAAAATGGACAATCATGACGGAAAACGATCGTTTTGAAGAAAAAAAAATCCAAAAGGATGCCCATCCGTATGCATATAACATTCAAACAGACAGACATTTTTTGATACACATACACAATATTAATAAGCTATCGTCATTCATTGAGTTTTTTAAAGTCGTCTCTTAATTTTCATGTTTATATGTATTTGTGACACCTTGTGAAAATCTTCAAGTCTACTGTTCTACACCCACCAAAACAAGATGCTTGATGACGACATTTAGTCTTTTCTAATCTATACCTGAGAGCTGGTGAGTTGAATGGGGAGAGTGTTTGCGGAGGATCAGTTTGTGTTCTAGTGGGGAATATATAGGATACTCCTTCCTCCCGCTCTCCAGCTGGTAGCAAACCGGTCAAATCAGGGGCACTACATTAACAAGATATAAAGGAATATATAAGATCTAGGGCACTACATTAACAATATATAAAGGAATATATAAGATCTAGGGCACTACATTAATAATATATAAAGGAATATATAAGATCTGGGGCACTACATTAACAATATATTAAGGTAGATATAAGATCTAGGGCACTACATCAAAAATATATAAAGGAATATATAAGATCTAGGGCATTACATTAACAATATATAAAGGAATATATAAGATCTAGGGCACTACATTAACAATATATAAAGGAATATATAGCATCTAGGGCACTACATTAGCAATATATTATAAGGACTGTAAACGTAATTTTACATCGGAATTAGTTCGGAACTTTTGTGTTAATATTGTTTATTTTGAAACACTTGATCTCGATATTAAATATGGACCCTTTTGAAGGAATTGAGTTTTTGATACAAACACAAATTTTCTTATCCCTCTATCTTTGCAACCTGATGGTGTAAACCTTCGATATTTCAAAATTCGACTATATGTTTAAACAGAATTACTAGTTTGAAATATCAAAGGTCTACAACATCGAGTTAAAAAGATATGAGGTTTAGAAAACTGTTCCTTTAAGGATTAAAGATATTCCTGCATATTATGACAACAATGGGATATCGAAGAGGAATTAAATTAATCCATAGATCTGTATAAGATGGAGATCAATTCTAATATTTTAAGTCAAACAGATAAAAATCATAACTAAAGGAATTGAGCCTTTGCCACAGACTATAATTTTCTAATCTCTATATATTTGGAGCCCAATGTGGTAGACCATAGGTATTTCAAACTATGAATTCTTTAGATCAACGAATTTAAGTTTAACATATCAAAGCTTTACGCCGTTAGGTTGTGAAGATATAGGGATTAGAAATTATGAAATTGTGGCAAAGACTCAATTCCTTTACTGAGATGTCAAGATTTTTGCCCTAGTTCGATATACTCAATGAACCCAAAATACGAATTAATGCCGTCTCATATTTGCAATTAGCTTTTTAATCAAAAACTATTTTAAAATTTGAATCTCAATTTTAATGTTTTTTAATGGGAAAAAATTACCTGAGCTGTACAAAAGGGTCTGTATGACTATTTGATACATCAACACTTTCCTCCTTAATGTGAAAAGTATAAAATATCATGAATCTTATTTAACATTATTCTTCTTTTTAATTTTAACTTTAAAATCTTACTTAAACAATTTAATACCTCATTCTATTTTTTGTTTTAGCTTTTTTTTCTCTTTTTTTTCATCAATTTTACAAATATTTAAGATATCTGTCAATATTTCAATCTGATAAACAAACCATTGAATCTTAAATTCAGGAGAAACCTACAAGTTTTAAGAATAGCATTTAAAAATAAATTTTGAATCTAATTATTTTGATAACATAACTATTTGATTTTTAAATTTCTATTTTTTCCATAAATTCTTAAATGGCCTGTAAAGGAAAAATGAAAGGGGGTAAAGGATAAAACCTGAGAATCTCAGGAGTTGAACAATACATATAAGACATCTATCTGATGTTCCTGTCTCGAGAAATTGATATAAAACTGTGTAAAATTTATATGAAAATTCATATATTTACAATTTTGTATAGAAATGGCAGGTTTAAACAGATCATATTCAGCAAATACGAAACCATCTCTGTTAAAAACTATTATATCCCACAGGAGCCTGAAAATCTTAGGTTTACTGCTATTAAAAAGTTAACAAAAACTTAGAGCTAATTTTAAGCAATTCTTAATTTAAAAACGGTGGCATGTTTGCTTCACAACGGAACCCTTTAAATTATATTTAACAAATGTTTTTCTTTAATTGCAACTTTTGCGGGGTTTTGCTTCATTACCAAAGGATTTGAACACTTTGGATGCTATGACAGACGACGATATATTTCACATTATTGATCAGATAATAAGTATTTAAAAGGTATCATTGTGAATTGAGCATGGAGGATCCCTTTAAATTACAATTAAAATAAACCTGGTCAAGTTGCGGAGTTTCTTGCTGGTAACTTTGACGTGGTGCATTATGAACGTTTGTTAGAGGCTGAACCTGATATAGAAATCATATATTATATATATATTTATATATATATGTATATATATATATTTTATAACTAACTCCTTAAGTCGAGCCGAAGATCTGTCAATCACGTGACACAAGCTGTCGTCAGAGTTGGGTCGAAGATTGGGTCTTAAGGTCGGGTTT